CCAAGAGTACTTGGAAGGCCACGGAATTCCACATAACTCTATCCTTCCTCCCATCAACAGTATGATACACATTCCTTTTCTTTTCTCCATACATCTCCTATGGGATAATTTTTTAGTGTGTGTGTGTGTGTGTGAGAGAGAGAGAGAGAGACAGACAGACAGACAGACAGACAGACACCGTGTCCAGCATATACTGGAACCCACAGGTAAGCTACCTCTATGAAAAGGAAATATTCCTTTCCAATGCTAGCAGCCTTTAAAAGTTGGAAAAGGCAATGAAACAGATCATCTCCTGGAGCCTCCAGAAGGGAATGCAGCACTGTCAACATCTTGATTTTGGCTCAGTAGGGCCCATTTCAGACTTGTGACTTGCAGGACTGTAAGTCCATGCAATGCTTGTGCTAACTTGCTACAGTGGTTTCAAGAAACTAATGCACAGGTGACAACAACAGGAATAAATGCAAGGATGAGGAATACTGAGCTGCTGTTGCTGTACAGTGGGTTAAGCTGCCACTTGCAACACTGCCATCCCTTATCAGAGTGCTGGTTCAAGGCCTGGCTGTTCCGCTTCTGGTCCAGCTCCCTGCTAATGTGCCCAGGAGGGCAGCAGAAGATGCCTCAAGTATTTGGGCCCTTGCTGCCCATGTGGGAGCCCAGATGCAGTTCTAGGCTCCTGGCTTCAAGCCTGGTCCAGCCCCAGCCACTGGAGCCATGTGGGAAGTAAAACAGCGGATGAAAGTTCTTTCATTATCTTTTTCTACCTCTTTCTCTGTCAGTTTGTCTTTCAAGTAAATAAAATCTTTTAAAAAAATGAACAATACAGCTGAGCTAAGGGCTGAAAAGGATAAGGCTTTGACCTTCTATCAGCCTTTTAGGCTTTGTACCTACAATGTTTCCACTAGCACCTCACTTTTTGCCCTAGCATCCTCACTGACCTACCTTAAAGAATGATCAGACCTGTATGAAACAACACTGATTTACTGTGGAATTAAAGACCTATAATTCAGATTCCTGAGCCTTTCTTCCTGGAAGATATCCCCGCAGATCTCCCATAATGTATATATATTCAAACTCACTATTTTTGGTTTTCAACCCCAAATGTCATCCTCACTCTTTGCTTCTGTGTTTCATTAACTAAAATTGGTCATCTTCACCAACTTCATTAAATTTATTCCCTTTTTTTTTTAAGATTTTATTTGAAAGGCAGAGTTACAGAGAAAGAGGGAGACATACACAGAGGTCTTCCATGCACTGGTTCACTCCCCAAATGCCCACAAACAGCCAGTGCTGGGTTAGGCTGAAGCCAGGAACCAGGAGCTTCCTCCAGGTCTCCCATGTAGGTAGCAGGGTCCCAAAGACTTGGGCCTTCTGCTGCTTTCCCAGGCACATTAGCAGATAGCTGGATTGGAAATGGAGCAGCCAGCACTCAAAACAGCACTTATATGGGATGTCAGTGATGCAGTCAGCAGCTTTACCCTCTACGCCTCAATGCTAGCACCTATTCCAACTGCTTTACCCTCTATGCCTCAATGCTAGCACCTATTCCAAATTTCTTTGAATTCTACCTCAGGAGTGTTTCTCTAACTACTCTTTGGCATCATTACTTCTGTTTGCTTCATTCAGACCTTCACTCATTCTTACCTGCATGAACCTTATAGTCTTTGGGTCATTCCTACATATCAATCATATATACAGACCACAGACCCATGCCACACACATGCCTGTTAAGTCCAAACTCTCTAATGTGACCATTAAGACCATTCCTGATACAGATTCAAATTCCGTTGAAAGTCATTTATAACAAGTCAGCATCTTCCCCTATCCCTGTCACAATCCTCATATTCTACATGTTACCATGGTGAGCTTAAAGTCTGACCCATCAGACCTATCCTCATTTCTATACCTTGAAAGCACTATTCTCTCCATCCCATCCTTTCAGAATTAGTGTTTGAGGGATAAGTGGTTGGCCTCATTTGGCCTACTCACATCCCGTATCAGAGTACCTAGATTTGAAATCTGGCTCTGGTTCCTGACTCCAGCTTCCTGCTAATGCAGACCATGGGAGGCAAAAGGTGATGGTTCAAGTGGTTGGGTTCTTGCTACCCACATGGAAGACCTGGATTACATTCCTAGCCTCTAGTTTTGGCCTAGGCCTACCCCTAGCTGTGGTGTGTGTTAGAGAAGTGAGGCAATGTATGGAAGTGTTCTGTCCCTCCCCCTCTCCCCCTCACTCTCTCCACTAAAACAATAAAAAATTTATTTTATTTGAGACTCCTCTGAATCTAAGTAGTTACTCCCATATCTGCCACCATAACAGTTACCATGTGTACATTGTCTACACACATGTTTACTACACTGATTTTTTAAGCAGAAATATATTTAATGATTATATACAAAATGCTTCAAAATATTTCTTAAATCATTAATACTTCATGACTTGTTAGATAAGTACATGGATGAATGATGTCCTAAGCCCAGCTTTTGAGACAGCTCTAAAATCTCTGGAGTTTCTTGGGCTGCTTTGGAGATTATAACTTGTATAACTATGTACCACTGAAGGAGAATAGCCTATCTAGAGATATTTCAGATAGACAAAACAATTTCCTTCCTCTCTAGTAATCCCAGATTTCACCCTCTCTATCTGATTCTGCTCAAAGAAATAAAAAGTTGACTTAATTCACAAGCATTTGACAACAAAAGGATTTGTGGAAACCTAAAGTACATAAGGAACTGATATAACAAAGAAACAGCCATCAAGTATAGAAGGGTATGCAGATTGGAGGTATTAGGAAGGACATTTAACTAGGAAACACTCAATGGCCAATAGAACTAATGGACTGGGGTATGTGCATGAAATTTGGTTCTTCAGTTAAAGACAAAAACAAGAAGACAAGATGAGAAGTCAGCGTCGGGATGAATCCAGGAGAAAACAATGGATAAAGCAAGAGATCCAAGAGTATGCAAATAGATACAAACCAGAAAGCCTGATGGAACCAAAAGGAACCTTCTGAAGTATTATGTATCTGACAAATTGCAAACAATTAAGAATACAGTGTTGGGCGGGGGGGGGGGTGTCGATGAGGCTTTAGAATATGCCTGTTGGTGCTTTGGTGCTGTGACTGAGATGTAGTTTAAAGAGAACTTAATGTCAAAGTTCAGTTGCGATTAATTCTATCATTGAAATAATACAAAAGGGCTGTGTTAAGAAGTTCTACAGAACCTTTGGGGAGTTGAAATGTATAGTTCACAAGAGGCTCCATGACATCTTCAATATGTGGCTCATAAGTAAGGGGTAAACATTTTTCAAATTACAACTAAGTTGAAAAATCTGAAATCAACATTTCAATGTGTAACACACCTGATAGCTTTAATGGTGAGTGCAAAATCTTTCAATAATATATAAGCTGCTCCTGCATTTAGCCTAGACAAAAAAAAAATGAAAATTAATGCTAAAAAACACAAATAACTTCATCTTTTATTTTATATTTAAATGTTAAACTTGTCAAGACATATTTCTCAGGATCATTTCTGTCACAGAATTCCATATGATAATTTGAGATATAGTAATGATTATGATTTCATGAATCACAAGTATCACAATTAAGATAATGAAGGATCACAAGAGACTGACCATCTCAGGAGAAAACCAAAGTGAAAAAGTAAAATTCAGGAGGAGTGAGTGGGAGCCAAGATCATATGTGAAGATCCAGATGCACTACTTAATGATTTGGTTACTTTACACCTTATAGTGAGTCAGATGTTACGAAAAAGAAGAACAAAGTGTTGGACATCTGAAGAGTATCAGAATTTTGGGTGTCTTAATTCAGAATTTCTGTCTTGTTGTGACACAATGCCCCTACCCACATCTGCTTGCTCAAAGCCTGGATCAGTTTCTCCACTACCAAGTAAATCCATGAGTGTTTACCTCTGCTTACTATTTTCAAATAAAATTTTATTTGAGAGGCAAAGAGAGCTCCTATTCACTTGTTCATTCCCTGAATTCCTGCAACAACTACTATGTGGGTGACAGGAACGCAATTATTTGAGCCATCACCACTGCTGGCCAGGGTCTGCATTTGCATGAAGCTGGATTCAGGAGTCAGAGCTGGGTATCCAACTCAGGCACCCTGCTATGGACACAAATGTCTTAATCAGCATCTTAACCTCTAGGCAAAACATTCTCCCCTGCCTACTAGTTTTGAAAATTATTTCTTTATTGAAAACCTAAAGCAATTTTTATGTACTCTGTCCTCAGATGTATGAATTGAATATTTGAATTGTACTTCTCTCAGACAGTGGAGAGCATGGATTATGTATTAATAAGTTTTAAAATATTTAATAGAGTGATAAGAATATATCTTTATATATAAATATTTATATCTTTAGAATATGTCTTAAAGTCAAGTGAATTGGCCCAAGTGCCAAGATTCTGATGGTATGCCACACACTAAAACAGTACAGAATGTGTTACTTCTTGCCATTAGTGTTAAAAAAAATACCTAGGGGTAGATGTTTGGCACAGCAGTTTAGATGCCATGTAGCATTCCTGCATCCCATACAAAGTGCTTGAGATTTTAGTCCCAGCTTCACTTCTGATTCCAGGCCTCTACTGATGCACACACTGGGAGGCAGCAGGTGATGGCTCAAGTGGCTGGATTCTTGCCACTGGCATGGGAGACTTGGATTGAGTTCCTGGCTCTTGGCTTTGGCTTGGCTCAGCAACAGCTGTTGCAGGTATTTGGAGAGTGAACCAGCAGATGAAATTTTCCTCTCTCTCTCTCCCCTTTCCACCCTCCCTCTGCCTCACTGTAAGTCTGCTTTTCAAATAAATGAATTTTTAAAAAAATCTAGTATAGTTTATACTTAAAAGTGCATGAAAATTTTTGCTCTAAAATTGATTAAATTTAGTCATTAGATGGAAATAGAGACAAGGATAGAAGTAGGAGAGAAAGAGGGAGAGAAAGAAGGAAGGAGAGAGAGAGAAGACAAGGCACACATACCTGTTGTCCTGGACCAATCCCATCAAGGAACCATGTTTGTAGAAATCAAGTGCATAAGCATCAAGTGGAATCCTTCTTCCTTGGTTATCAAATTTCTGCAGCCACAGCACAGGAGCTTGAGTGTGATTGATACCAATTGTGCGCAGAGTAAGCTGAAGAAATAACAATTTCTAATTTGTTATTTATGTAGAAAGAAAGTGCATCATGTTTGTATGGGACCTTATAGCTACATTCCTTTAATAAATGTTCTTAAGGCACACTCTTCATATCAAAGAGGAGGATGCGTTTCACATGTACTGTGGTACACCTGAGCAAGCCTGCAGAATGACTCAATTCCGCCTATGAAAATGATTGCCTCTACTGCATACGAATGCCAAATTCAACCATTCAATCACCAGACTTATGATAAGATTTACCAGGAGAAAAAGGCTGGTGTAAAACGCTATCATTCTCCTTATTGGTGCAGAAAATACCCTTGCCAACAGAGTAACAGGGAGCTGGAGGCTTGCATGTCACAAAAGAAGAATTCAACTCAACAACCATCTTTGGGACCCAGACAACAGAATACACAGTAGGGGGAGGAGAAAGAGGGAAGCAAAAAAGAAGAAAGGAAGAAAGCAAATCATTTCTGCTCATTTATGCAAACTGTACTTGATGGGGTCAAGAGGAACCCTAATATACTGCTAGTGAGACTGTCAACTGGTACAAATACTTCCTAAAATGTGTTAATAGGAGCTTAAAAAGTTGAGTATTTGAATGTTCTTCCTCTCCTATGACACAGAAAATCCTTTAACTCGGAAAACCTAGACCTAAGAGAACCTGTTGCACCAGATATTCCTAGCAAAAATAGAAAGACACTCAACATTTATTAACAGGAGAATAGAGCAGCAGGTTGTTTTGTATTCACTCTATGAAATATTATGAAGTTGGGGCTGGCATTGTGATCTAACGGGTTAAGCTGCTACCTGCAATGCCAGCATCCCACAGGGGTGCTGCTTCAAGTCTCAGCTGCTCCACTTCCAATCCAGCTCCCTGCTAATCATCTGGGAAAAGCAGAAGATGGCCCGAGTCCTTGGGCCTCTGCACTCACATAGGAGACCAGAGTGAAACCTCTGGCTCCTGGCTTCAGCCTGGCCCAGCCATGGCTGATGTGGCCATTTAGAGTAAACCAGCAGATGGACAATCACTCTCTCCCTCTCTGTAATTCTGCCTTTCAAGTAAATCAATCTTAAAAAAAATATTATGAAGTAAAAACAAAAAAAAGTTCCATGTTGCAACACAGACCAATCACATCAATGAGTATAAAAAAAAGGAACTTCTATGAGACTACAATAAATATTCCTTTACTTTTTGTGACACTCAAGACAAACAAAAATAAGTGATTTACATGGAGTTTTTAAAAAGAAGAATGAGGCTGGCACCGCAGCTTACTTGGCTAATCCTCCACCTGTGGCATTGGCACCCCAGGTTCTAGTCCCAGTCGGGGCGCCGGATTCTGTCCCAGTTGCCCCTCTTCCAGTCTAGCTCTCTGCTGTGGCCCGGGAGTGCAGTGGAGGATGGCCCAGGTCCTTGGGCACTGCACCCGTATGGGACACCAGGAGGAAGCACCTGGCACCTGGCTTCGGATCGGCACAGCGTGCCTGCCGCAGTGGCCATTTGGGGGGTGAACCAATGGAAAAAGGAAGACCTTTCTCTCTGTCTCTCTCTCACTCTCTAACTCTGCCTGTCAAAAAAAAAAAAAAAAAAAAAGAAAGAAAAAGTTTAGGAAACTTTGAGGAGGAAGAGGGGAGACAAGGAAATGAAATAGAGGGAGAGCACAAGGGTCCTCATTTCATCAGTTTTATGCTTCACAGCTTATCTATAAACCACTTAAAGATACACAAGTATGCATACTTGGTATTACATTAAGATATAATATGTAATAGAAGAAAAGTAAGCTTTAAGAGATTAGAGCTTTCTCCAATAAAAGTAAATTTACATTAAGTGGGTAAGGCAAAAGGCATGTTATCCTCAAGCAATTTGCTGATGAGAATCACAGTGCAAGATGTGTCAAGACAGATGGAATCAAACCATTCCTCACCATTTAGAATATCATCAGTAACAACTTTGAGTCAGAATGAGTTCATATTCTAGACCTTAAAGGTCTCTCCTAATTGATGGTGATTATAATAAGACACACATAGGGTAGGCATTTGGCACAGCAGTTAAGATGTTGCTTGGGATGCCTGCATCCCATATCAGAGTGCATGCTTGGAGTACTGGCTCTTCTACTTCCAATTTGGCTTCCAATTTGGCCCCCAAGAGGGAGCAGTGATGGCTTAAGTATTTGGGTTCCTGCCACCCACATGGGAGAAATGTATGGAGTTCTGGGCTCCTGATTTCAGCTTGGAACATCCTTGGCTATTGAGGGCATCCTAAGTAAAGTGAAAATAAATAAAAAAAAATTTAAAAAAATGAACATTCTATGGATCAGTGCCCATCCACAGCCCCATGGAAAAACTTGCACATGGACAGGAAATAAGAGTGAATGGCAAATTCTTCCCATAGATTAATTGTATACTAGAAAAGGAAATTATAATTCATAACTGCATCTTTTTTCAGTACAAACAACTTTATAACTAATCAATTGTTTGTGATCATACAAATAAAATGCAGAAAAAAAGCCTTCATAAAATTATTGTTCTTGTCGCTCCCCCTCTTCGTGGAGGAACGACACAGGACCCTGCGCTGTTCTTTCGTCTGCTCGGCCCTCCCCGGGTTTGCTGCTGGTTCTTCCCGGGTTGGCTACTATCCCTTCCACCTCCGTGGAAGGGCAGTTCCCCCTGGCCACATTCCCCACTTCCGCAGGGGAGCGGCACACCGCCGGCCGGCTTTCTCGGGGGCTGCACGGGTTCCCTTAGATGTTCCCCATAGATGTTCCTGGTGCATGCCGTCTCTCTCCTCCTTTATAGTCCTCCTCCGCCAATCCCAACTCGGCTGCCCACACGCCGAGTACGCTGCTCTCCTCCAATCAGGAGCAAGTCCTACAGTTTATTAGTTGAACTGGAGGCAGCTGTGCGGAAGCTGTTTACTTCTCTCCCAGCGCCATATTGTGGGAGAGCAGATGCATAGAATAAGTCTTAATTCCAGTAACTCAGTCCAGTCCGGATTGCTCCCCACAGATCCCCCTTTCTTTTTATTTTTGGCGTTGATACGCGCCTGTCTTCGGTGTCCCGCAGCACACACTCTGCTCTACTTGCTAGAGTTGCCACAGGTTCTTACAATCAGGCAAACCGAATCCGGGTCCTCTCTTCGCCATGTTGTGAGGAGGTTTTTAGGCGCTGATGCGTGCCTGTGTTCGGTGACCTGCGGCTCACACTCTGGTCGAGCCGCCTGCTGGCGCTTACCGCCTTAATTAGGCAGACCGAATCCAAGCCTTCTCATTGCCTTTTTGTGGGGAGGCCTTACTGATGTTAATTCGTGCCTGTCTTCGGTGACCTGCGGCGCATAAGCTGCTAGCCGCCGCAGGTGCTCATCGTGCTCATCGCCTCACTTAATCAGGCAGACTGAATCCAAGCTCTCACATTGCAGTGTTGTAGGGAGGCCTTTCTATTTCTCTATTTCTCTATCTCCGGGCATTCCTATTTCTCCCATTTTACTTCTGTCTGCCAACATTCCCATTTCTCTCATTTTACTTCTAAACTTTTGTTTCTCTTATCCCTGCGGCTTTCCGGTGCCCGCCCCGAGGCTGCTTCCCGGCTCTGAGCCGCTTCAGCCCGCGCCTCTCTCATCTGCGCGGCTTCCCGGCTTTGCGCGGCTTGGCTTCGCGCGCTCCGCGGTCTCCACGCCCTTCGCGTCTGCACCACGGCCTCACGCCAGCCCCGTTCCCTATCTATTCACGCCCCGTGCTCTTTCTGCACGCGGCGGCTTCCGCGAGTAACACAGCGTAGCTTACGTGTCCGCCACTAGCATTCAATCTAAGTTCCCCGGGCTAGCCTGGCGAATTCAACCCAGCATACGTCTCCGCCCCACGATCTGGCTTCCCGTCCTTTGCTCCCCGGGCTAATCAGACGGATCCCAATCTGGCTTACGTTTCAGCTTCTGGTTTCAACTTTTCGCCCCCTATTCCCGGGCTAACTTGAGAACCCCAAAGTGGCTTTCGTATCCGCCTCGGCCTGCCCCCCGCGGCTTCAATTTCCCTAACACTTTTCTCTACCCGGTATGTTTCCCCAAGCTTTCCTCCAACAATACTCCTCCCTCATTTCTCCTGGCCTCTCCCCACAGTCCGCATCCGAGTCTGTTTGTTCTAGCTTTCACTTTCGCTTTCGACCTCAGAGATTTCTCCCAGCTTCCCCCCGTAGTCCATATCTGAGTCTATGCCTAGGCTTTCAACAGCTTCCTCCGGCACCTCTTTTCGTCCGGCTTTTCCCTAGGCTGTTTGCTAGTCTCTGTAGTCCGTATCTGAGTCTATGCCTAGGCTTTCCATAGCTTCTTCCCGTTTCTTCCCTCCTAAGTTTGCTATCCGTCCTAGGTTTCCTATCCAAGCTAGGTTTCCTATCCGAGTCACGGCACCATTATGTCGCTCCCCCTCTTCGTGGAGGAACGACACTAAGCCCTGCCTAGGCTTCATATCCGAGTCACGGCACCATTATGTCGCTCCCCCTCTTCGTGGAGGAATGACACAGGACCCTGCGCTGTTCTTTCGTCTGCTCGGCCCTCCCCGGGTTTGCTGCTGGTTCTTCCCGGGTTGGCTACTATCCCTTCCACCTCCGTGGAAGGGCAGTTCCCCCTGGCCACATTCCCCACTTCCGCAGGGGAGCGGCACACCGCCGGCCGGCTTTCTCGGGGGCTGCACGGGTTCCCTTAGATGTTCCCCATAGATGTTCCTGGTGCATGCCGTCTCTCTCCTCCTTTATAGTCCTCCTCCGCCAATCCCAACTCGGCTGCCCACACGCCGAGTACGCTGCTCTCCTCCAATCAGGAGCAAGTCCTACAGTTTATTAGTTGAACTGGAGGCAGCTGTGCGGAAGCTGTTTACTTCTCTCCCAGCGCCATATTGTGGGAGAGCAGATGCATAGAATAAGTCTTAATTCCAGTAACTCAGTCCAGTCCGGATTGCTCCCCACAGTTCTTATAAACTAAACTTTATTTATTATTTATTTATTTATTATTTACTTACCAGAATTCCCAATTTTTCCAAAGCATTCTATTCTATGACACCACTCAGACTGGGGTCATGTCCTGCAGATCTGTTATTAATGAATTGTATCCTTCACTTACATGATCTGAAATTCCTGGTTGAAGTAAATCACTATCAAAATTTCCAGACAGACAAGCAAATGGCGAAACGGCTACTCTTGCTTCCTTGCAGTTCATCAAGTGAGACACAAGTTGAGAGCCTTCACATTCTTTACCTGTGAATTCTGACCAAAATAAATTGGGAAAGATTAGTTTTTTGTGTGTTTTGTTTTTCTATTTATTTTGAAAGGCAGAGCTACAGAGAGAGAGAGAGAGTGTTTGTTCATTCTTCCATCTGCTTGTTCACTCCCCAGATGGTTGCAATGACTGGAGCTGCACCATCCGAAGCCAGGAGCCAGGAGCTTTTTCCAGGTTCCCCACACGGGTGCAGGGGCCCAAGGACTTGGGCCGTCTTCCACTGCCTTCTGAGGCCATAGTAGGGAGCTGGATCATAAGTTGGAGCAGTCGGGATTCGAACTGGTGCCCATATGGGATTCTGGCACTGCAGGCAGTGGCTTCCCCAGCTACGCCACAGCACTGGCCCCAAAAGATTAGTTTTTAAAACTCAACCAAATTGTTAAAGCTTCATTCTTGGTGTAGACTGTGCTGCAAGGGGAGCCAGTTGACTTTCCAGGGCCTATATCACAATGAAGCCTGAAAAAGCTACCTCACAGACAGAGGGCAGAACAGCTTGGGACAGACTACACAACAAATTAATTGTTAGTATCATTATTACAAAATTGTTATATTATAGTGGCTTTGGAACAACAGGAATAAAACACTAAATTTAAATTGTATACTCCCACAACAGAGAACTGTTAATAACATGGTACTTTTTACCACTGAATTCAGAGTTTGCCTCAGAATCTTTCTAGACATGGTGTTCCAAGCTGCCACTCTTCATAGATTTGGAAGTGGCATATAAGAAGAAATACATTTTTTTCCAATCATGCTCTTATGAAGCACCAGACCATACATCCAAATTGGGTTTGTATTAGAGGCAGAACAGTCACGCACCATCAGTGCCCCTCCTCTGTGAGGTTCACGGTGGTCCACCATTATTGCCTAATTTCGTTCATGCCCCTTCCTATTTTATCAGGGTCCAGGAAGCTACAAGCTCTATCTATTTGAATTTTCCCCACTGGAGATGCTAGGGTATAGTGAAACAAAGAAGTTGCTACCCACAGCTCAGTGCTTTCCCTTTATCTATCACCTTTTTATTTCCCTAGAAGGTTTCCATGGATTAGTTCATTAAAAAAAAAAAATAATGGGGCTGGTGTGGCTTAGCAGGTAAAGCTACCGCTTGAGATGTCACCAGTTCGAGACCCGGCTGCTCCACTTCCCATCCAGCTCCCTGCTAATGTGTCTGGGAAAGCAGTGGAAGATGGTCCAAGTGCTTGGGCTCCTGCACCCACGTGGGAGACCTGGATGAATCTCCTGGCTCCTGGCTTCAGCCTGGCCCAGCCCTGGCCATTGTAGCCATTGGGGGAGTGAACCAGTGGATGGAAGACCTCTTTCTCTGTAACTCTGCCTTTCAAATTAATAAAATAAATCTTTAAAAAAGTAAAAACATACATGAATGTTCTTTACTACCTGCCAAACACTATCTTAAGATATTGACATATATTGATTATGCAAAGCTTACCAATACTAAGTAGATAATGTTATTTCCTTTCTCATATATCTGTTGAGGAAAATTAAGCCATGAATTTGCTTGCCCAAGATCTCAGATGATTAAGTACTAGAGCCTGACTTTGGACCTGAGGAGGAATCTGCCAGAGTCTATGTTCATGAACTCTAAGCATATTTTCCCTCAAGATAAAGAGTGACAGAATTAGTTTTTGTCTTAATCTCAGAGTTGTGCTTAATCCATTTTTCAGGTTCAGTCCCAAAGCAGCCTTTAAACAACATGCTTTATAAATGACTCCATTAGGTTTCATTGTCCTTGTCCTTTTCTAATTATTTTAACTCTCTCTGGAAAGCAGGTGGAGTGTCCTCATTCCAGGGGCATTCCTGGAACTCCTCCCTTCTGAAAAAAATATTCTTCTGCAAGATTTTCTGTTTTTCCAGTTGTTCCACAGTGGAGATAAAATGCACTTACCAATTTTTGATAATGGAAGTTCATATTCCTGTTTCATATCAGCCAATTTGGAAACGATTTGTAGGAAAGAGGCAAAGTCCTTTGTAACATTCATGTTATATTCATTTAAAGCAGCACTGAAATCTTCAGGAAGATCATCAAGGAATACCTAGAGGTCAAACATTTTCGTAAAGAGGTGTCTACGTTCCTTGAAAACTGAATCTTCGGAAGAACATTGCAATAGAATTCTATAGTTATCTGCTTATTCAATGATGCCATTGTTTCATTCTTTGATTTGTGGAGTTGAGGTAATATTTGTTTTTTGTTTCTATTTTCATTTACAAAAAATAGCTTCTTTCATTGTATTTGTAATGACTGTTTGTAATAGAGATATGGACTCTTCTAAGTTGAATGTAACTTTACTTAAACAGAGTGCTTATATAACATTTCAAGGATGCACACGTAATGAAAGAGTGATGATCAGTCAATGACTAAAGCGTGGTTACGAGTATAGAGGACAGTCAGTGAGGGCACAGATGGCTAATTCAACATAGTGGGGTTAGACAATACAAATTAACTCTTCATTTTTTTATCCACAGTATCTTTTCACTGAGATTTCCAGTATAAACCTATTTCTTGCCCATATTCCCACCTGAAGGTAAAAAGATCCCAAGGGAACTGTTGATTCAAGGAGGAAGAAGTCTGTTTGTTTCATGTAAATGTAGAATTATGTATACATTTTGAGGTTACTTAATGCTGTAGTTTGATGAGTACTTTATAAAATGAGAAACATGAATTGGACTTTGATAGTTATTTTGCTTGTGGGATTAACCTTTGATATATTTACAGAAGCAGACATCTGAACTACAAATTAAATACCACATTGATTATAAGAAGAAAACAATTTTTATAAAACAAATGAACTATCCAATGTTAATAAAAGTTTCTTATAGGATCTATTTAATGCTGTTAACTATTAAATTTTATTAGAGTCATACATTTTACCTTTGACTGATAAAACTTTAAGGTAGTATCTTGGAACTTTGCTGGAAGATACCTTCTTCCAAACAGATTTGCCAATACCAATAATAACTTTTCCATAGTATCTTGGGAAAAATGCTTTGAGCCTATTCAAAATAAAGGATTTTGTTAAAAATGTGAAATTATATTATATTATATTATATTATTTCATATTTAAATTGAATATGATATTTCCTGGAAACTAAGCTTTTGTGGCAGCTGAGTAAGGACTACATTTGCTGACAGTTTTCTTCTGTGTTGACTTTTTCATTCTTGTCACTCTCACCATAGTTCGGTTCCTAGTCATCCCAACCTTAAATTGCCACGTCACTTTCCCTAGATTTCCTTACTTTAGCCTATCCTAGTAAAGGATCAGTTGCCCTAAAGAATCTCACAATGACTTTTTTCTCATCTACAAGCCTCTGATATCTCCATGCTTTCCAAACAAAATCTAACTTCCTTAGTTTAGCATTTTCGTCTTTTTAAAATTCAGCCCACAAATACTCTCCCAGCATTATCTGCCAACTGCCACTCATAGTGAGTTATTGTTAACTTGAGTTACTTCAGGTAAGCTCTTTTCTATAGTGTTTAAAAACTTGCTACATTTATATTGCAACACTGTTGATAAAAGATGAAATCAACAGAGATGTCCTTAAGTAGATGAACAGACTAAGAAAATGTGATATAGATATATAATGGACTATTATTCAGTTATAACAAAGAATGGAATCCTGTCATTTGCAGCAAAATAGATAGAACTAAAGGACATGTTGAGTAAAATAAGCCAGAAGTAGAAACACAAATATCACATGTTATTTCTCAAATAGAAACACTGAAAAAGAAAAAGTTGATGTAAAAATTCCAACAGTGTAATTAGAAACTGCATGGGGGGAATAGGGGGAGGTTGGGCAATAGATACCAAAGCAGTCAGTGAGAAGGAACCGTGGAGAGACTATACTTAACAACATATTCTTTTTATTTTGAAAAACTAAGAAAACCTGGAAGGCTCCAAACATTAAGAAATGATAAGGAGGGGCCGGCACAATGGCATAGAGGGTTAAGCTGCTGCCTGTAACTCCAGCATTCCATATGGGCACTGGTTTGAGTTCCAGCTGCTCCAGTTACAATCTAGCTTCCTGCTAGTGTGCCTAGGAAAGCAGTGGAAGATGGCCTGGGTGCTTGGGCCTCTGCACCCACATGGGAGACTTGGATGAAGCTCCTGGCTCCTGGCTTCAGCTTGGCTCAGCCCTGGCTATTGTGGCCATTTGGGAAGTAAACCAATGGTTCACTGTTTAAGATATTTCTCTAACTCTGACTTTCAAATAAAAATAGATACATCTTTAAGCAAAAAATCTATGTGTATATAAAGAAGTGATAAGGAAAAGAAAATGCTAATTACCTGATTTGATCAGTACATGCTGTATTTATGTATTAAATATGACATGTACCCCATAAATATGTACAAATACTATATGCTAAGCAAAAATTTTAAAAATGTGTTAATTTTTTCCAAAATGCTACCTTTAATAACTTAGGTTCTGGAATCAGACTACTTATAAATAAATCTTGATTCTGACTTATTGAACTTATGGGATGATGTGAATTTATTTAACTTCTCTGTGCCCCAGTGTCATTTCCCAAATGATGCTAGTCTTAGTACCTGCCTCATAAAGTTGTCAAATTTTCCATACCCAGGATTACACACATACCTACCCCCACATCAGTCAACACAACTGTACATGTGGTTGCCTGAAATCATTTATCTTACGGAGTTTTTGGAAGAATGGTGTTTTTGTTTTGTTTTGTTTTTGAAAGTTTTACTTATTTATTTCCAAGTCAGAGCTACAGAGAGAGAGGGAGAGACAGAGGGACAGAAAGATCTATCCACTGGTTTATTCCCCAGATGGCTGCAATGACAAGGACTGAGCCAGGCTGAAATCGAGAGCCAGATGCTTCTTCCAGGTCTCCCACATGGGTGGCAGGGATCCAAACACTTGGGCCATGTTCCACTGCTTTTCCCAAGCCATTAGCCAGAGAGCTGGATTGGAAGTGGAGCAGCCAGAATACAAACTGGTGTCCATATGGAATGCTAGCATCACATGCAGTGGCTTTAGCCACTATGCCGCAACACTGGTCCCAAGAATGGTATTTTTTTAGTACCCTTGTTTCACAGAACAATTCATGTTTAGAGCAAGGTGACTGAACCTATTATGCAAAGTAGAATGTTCTATTGATTAATGGTTGAAGATAAAGTAATGTTGTGAAAGATATTGAATTCACTAGCATTAGAAAATATAACTAGGAGCCGCGGCTGTGGCACAGTGGATTAACACCCTGGCCTGAAGTGCTGGCATCCCATATGGGCGCTGGTTTGAGACCCGGCTGCTCCACTTCCGATCCGATCTCTGCTGTGGCCTGGGAAAACAGTGGAAGATGACCCAAGTCCTTGGGTCCCTGCACCTGTGTGGGAGACCCGAAGGAAGCTCCTGGCTCCTGACTTAGGATCAGCACAGCTCTGGCCGTTGTGGCCAACTGGGGAGTGAACCATTGGATGGAAGACTTCTCTCTCTCTCTCTTTCTGCCTCTCCTCTCTCTGCGTAATTCTGACTTTCAAATAAATAAATAAACCTTTAAAAAATATAACTCTATATACAAATATAAAAGGAAATATTTATTTTAGGAACACTGTATAAAGGATTTATTGTTTAAATGTACCACAAACTGTGGAAAATGGAATCCATTAAAAAATTTATAGGGCATGAACAAAATTTTGGTGTTTTAGAAAACAAGATTCTAGATTATACAATATAATGCTACCTATGTAAGTATGCCATATAATTACATTCAAAGAAAATTTGATTAAAAGAAAATATTCATAAATAGAGTGATTATTTGTGGATAGTGGAATTATGAGTAATCTTATTTTTAACATGGTTTCAACTATCTTTTTGCTAGGATAAACACATATTATATTTAAGTAAATATTCTTTATATTTATGTATTATTTGCTATGTTCTGGATCCTAGAGGGCAAGGAAAGACTGAAGGTAATTCCCCAGAAAAGTAGAAATTATAAAATAGGTGTCACAAAGTCTGTCTCTCCCAAATAATCTGTATTAGTACATATTTCACATTGTTTTCTCTGATTTGGGTACCTGTAAATTATTTACATATTCACTGTATTTTTTTTTTGTTGAAAAAATATTCCCAAATTGCCGACTTTCTACAGATCCATTAGTGGTTTTAAACTATATATGCACATGAAAGCTCAAGCTTACCTTTCGTGGTAGGCTGGCAAAGATTATGGAAAAGTCCTCTTACAAGAAAATAGACAAAAACGAGATTAGAAGGCTCATGATAATGCAAATGTGATACAAGTCCAGCAAAACCCATTGGGTTACCTTCTTGATCTATATAGCCCTAAAAAACAAAAAGAATTCATTAGTTTGACTAAACTCACTACATAATTACTTACACAACTGCTTATTAGGTGCTAGTTTATAATGGTATTTAATGCCAATATGTGACATAGATAACTATTACATACTCCAACTTTGATAATTATGTCAATTATTAGTAATATTAATCATTGGATATAACCTTCAAAAGACGACATTTAGTTCAACATGACAAGGAATCTGCCTATCAGCAGTGCTACTGCACCAGAAGACAAAGCACAAGCATACCTCTTTCATCAGGAATTGCAAAGAAAACAAGAAGTAAAGTTTTAGCATCTCCATGACTCTGGGTTGTTTGAAGGACAGCAGTGAATGCTTGAGCACAGACAGCACCTTTAAGAAATAGGACTTTTGTTTACTCCGTGTTAAGTGTTATGACATACATAATAACCTATATTATAAAATGTATATCAGCAATACATTAGGTTCGATTTTACATTATTGTACTATGATCTTACATGTCACACCCTTCCTTTAGCACAGTAGAACACATAAAATAGAACTGTCAGAAAAGAAACACTGCCAAATAAACTGATAATAAAAGCCATTTCAGGGGGCTGGCATGGTGGCACAGCAGGTAAAGCTGTGTCCTGGCTGCCACCTACATGGGAGACATGGATGAAGCTTCTGGCTCCTGGCTTTGGCTTGGCCAACCCTGGCTGTTGTGGTCATCTGGGGAGAGAACCAGAGGACAGAAGATCTCTCTCTCTCTCTGCCTCTCCCTCTCTGTCTTAACTCTGCTTTTTAGTTTTTTTTTTTTTTTTTTTCATGCTATTCCAGTTTGAGTTTATAACTCCTGAATTGTTCTGGAAGAGAAAAAGATCCATTAGTCCATGTTGTATAATTGGTGCAAAAATAATAGAACTAGGTTTTTTAAAACAAAAAAAAATTCTGCTTGGTTTCTAGTGTAAAGCAGTACTGAGGTTCACAGGTATTTCAGCTTCACAATAAGAGGAAAACCCCACCATCACTGGCTGCCTTTGGACCGGAGAGTGTATAGAACCTTGGAAGAATCTGTATTTACTTTAAGCCCAGTGGTCTAGAGGAAGGAAGAAAGGACAGAGGAGGAAGGGATGTACTTTCCAGCTCCTGCTCTGCTGGGTGATACTTTTTAAGGCAGCAAAAGTAGCTTTTCCTACAAACTCCTCTCCCTCAGATGCCACATTTATTCAGAGGTGGCAAGAGTCAGCAAACAGTGGAGCAGTTAAGGACCTGAGCAATGATGCATGGTGGGTCACTGTAACTTTAGTGGTGTAGCCTCCATAGTTTTATTAAAACAGCAAGAATCCTGACATCACTGTACACTGTAGTCTCTAGTCATTAATTATACAGATGTAATCAGTGCATTAGCAAGGCTAGCAGCAGAAGACAGGTCATCTTTCAGTTCTGAAAAGCTACAAAAGATGATCTCGTACTGATACTTGGGCCAAAAACTATCCACCCGGCCTCAGATCTCAAAGGGCATTCAAACAGCAATGAGGTGCACAGAGTGAAGCCAGAAGAATTTCATATACCATACTGCTAGGCAAACCACTAGATTTTGGCAGATATATCTTCATTCATATATGAGAAAACAGAAAAACCCATAAGAGATCAATTTCTATAGATATTTGCAAGATTGTTCAGTCATACCACAAATATATACTGAATGTCTGTACCAAAAAAGACAACAAACACAGTTGGCCTTAGAGTACTTAACAATTCATTGGGAAATATAGAGAAAATAACCAAATATGATAGAGGTACAGAGATGACATACATAAGACAGATGATAGATTTGATGCTATATAAGAAATGATGAGTACTGAATAAGGAGCATTGTCAAAAAGGCAGATAGGGAAGCACTTAAACTTTAGAAGGGAAGGAGAAGGTAGGCTTCACTAAGTAATGATGAAGCTAAGAATTTATGAAGGAAAAGAAGAAGCAAGGTCATGCACATATCTGAGGGAAGATGTTAGAAATAAAAGAAACAGCAAGAGCTGTGGTCTTCATACTGCACTGTGCCTGGAGTGTTCATGAAACAGACAGTGGGCCATGTGGAAGAACAGTTCCAGTTAATGAGATCAGATTCTACACAGCCTCCCAGACTAGGACAAGAATATTAACTTCTACTGTAAAAAGAAAAAGGTCTGACCTATGAAAATTGTCTTCTGTATACAGCAAAATTGTTTTGGAAAATTATTTGCATCCTCCATGGAAGCCAAATGACATGGCTTCTAAGAGAGAGGGCACAGCAACTTATGGTATATAGATAATATAAATTGGCATTCTAAAAATAATACCTTTCCATGATATGAAAGAGGGACAAATAAAGTGGTGAACAAGTTCAGAAAAGCATAGAAGTACCGGAGCAGAATTAGAATCTGCTTTTGTATTACTAAAGAACAGAACTGACACTATGAAGAGCTGTACCAGTGAAGCAGAGGTAAGTTTTGTATATATTCTCTCATAAAGATTGAAAAATTGCAATGACGATCCAAAAAGGGGGTTTCAAATTAAAAATTATAACTTTTCCTAGAAAATAAATTGAACAATTAAGCAAACAAATAGGGAAATGATTTAAGAAATATTTTTTTCAGTTAATGAAATGTCAGAGCATTGCATAACCATGGGAATATACTTAATGCTACCAAACTGTGCACTTAACGTGATTAAGATGGTAAATTTTAATCTAAAATGATCAAATACGTAGGACCAGCCAACAAATCACAGGAGACCTAGATTAATTACTGCCTCAGCAAACAGCATTTATTTAACTGGGCACACTTATTCACATACCAAAACAGGCAAGAATAGGTCTCTTTTAACAATGCATCTTCAAAGAGACAAAAATCAGTTTATTATGAATTTTAAATCTCATTTTGGGTTTGGACACAAAATATTTAAGTAAATCAGATAAATTTTATAACCTTATTCTGAAGTCTGATTAGATTTAACTACATCAGTATTTAAAAACCTAATGCACATTCTTGCCTAGAAAAAATGACTAGAAAAACTGCTTAAATGATAATATGATCGTCTTTAGATATTAGACTTAGGTAGGCATGAACACTTTCTATTCTTCTTTCAACTTTCTACATTTCCCAAATATTATTTCAAAAAGTTAGGTTGCTTTCCTGTGAAAAATAAACTTACTAATTACAAAATCATAAAAATAAATCTGCTTGTTTCTAATTGGTAGAACCAATAATCAAATCTTTTTAAAATCCATTTCCAATATCCTTAACTGCTGCCTATGAAATGTAACACTAATCCAGCGTGATTCCCAGTGCCCATCCAGACACAAATTCTAGGTCTGATAATGGAACCAAATATAACTGATCATTCTCTTAGTGGTTCCCAATCTTTTCCCATTTAAGACTTTTTTTTTTTTTTTTTTTGGATAGGCAGAGTGGACAGTGAGAGAGAGAGACAGAGAGAAAGGTCTTCCTTTTGCCGTTGGTTCACCCTCCAATGGCCGCCGCGGCCGGCGCGCTGCGGCCGGCTCACCGCACTGATCCGGTGGCAGGAGCCAGGAGCCAGGAGCTTTTCCTGGTCTCCCATGGGGTGCAGGGCCCAAGTACTTGGGCCATCCTCCACTGCACTCCCTGGCCACAGCAGAGAGCTGGCCTGGAAGAGGGGCAACCGGGACAGAATCCGGCGCCCCGACCGGGACTAGAATCCGGTGTGCCGGCGCCGCTAGGCAGAGGATTAGCCTAGTGAGCCGCGGCGCCAGCCCCCATTTAAGACTTTATAAAGCATTAATAAGACTGGTGAACATTAAGAGTAATGGCTACAAACTTCCAAAAGAACAGCAGACTCAACCACAGTCAGGTCAGTGATGAAGACTGAACCTCAGACAGTGGCCAGCGCAGTACCTTGGCCTTGGCGTCCTCTGGGTCATCTCCCCTGGAAACCAACAGCATGAGTCGCAGGATCAAGGTGATGCTGAAAGGGAACTGTCCTCGCAGTTCAGGAACTTTGGATTTTATGAGTTTTTCTATTTTGGGCAATGGAATATTAAAGAAATACACATCTCCTAGATGGTCCTGGCCTCGTCTTCCAGCCCGACCAGACATCTGGAAACAGAACAGAATCACAACTTGAAAAATCTCTAAATACTTTCCCTATCACAGTTTAAAAACTGAACCTATTACATTGTTTTGGAGAAAGTAAATTGTGCCTATGTCCAACCATTAATTAATTGAAACTAATGTCCAGTTAGTAAGGCTTAGAAGACTTGCCATGACTGAGACAGAGTTGGACAACTATACACTTATCATTATGATATACTTTTTTCATGCTACTAATCATACTAGGCATTTATATAATGATCTTTTTTTATTTTTATTTTTTGACAGGCAGAGTTAGAGAGTGAGAGAGTGCGTGTGAGAGAGAGAGAGAGAGAGAAAGGTCTTCCTTTTTCCATTGGTTCACCCCCCAAGTGGCCACTATGGCCAGCACACTGTGCCAATCTGAAGCCAGGAGCCAGATGCTTCCTCCTGGTCTCCCATGCGGGTGCAGGGCCCAAGGACCTGGGCCATCCTCCACTGCACTCCCGGGCCACAGCAGAGAGCTGGACTGGAAGAGGAGCAATCAGGACAGAATCCGGCGTCCCAACCAGGACTAGAACCCAGGGTGCCGGCGCTGCAGGCGGAGGATTAGCCTAGTGAGCCGCAGCGCTGGCCTTATATAATGATCCAAAACCAAGAACAATAAGAAAACAGCCTGATTTCAAGTTCATGTACAGCTGAGCTCTACTACCCCAATTTTCTCTCCTTCATTCTCTACCTCATCTCTTTGTCTTCTGTCCTCTCATACACAAATTTTGAGTTATGAATCAACATAAAAGAAATGTACAAAATAAGAATATATAAGACAAAATTCAGGAATATTGTTATTGCAGTGTAAGTAAGAAGTCTTTTCATTTATTAAGTGCTTCTTAGAATATGCAATGGCGGATTATTTTCTTATATAGAACTCAGAATTGACATATGAGACATATCATCATTTTCCCCTTGTACACTGGAAATTGGGGCACAGGGAACAGAAAAAATTGCCCATAGGCAAGCAACCAGAGTGGAGGATACAGGACTCAAACCCTGGCATTTCTATTTCCAAGTCCATCATCCCAAATATCTCAACACCTTCTACATAGGAGATTCCCAGAGATGACGCAGGAGGCGAGTTCATGAATACACTGCTAAGTAGAAATAAAAAATCAGGGGCAGGTAAATTGGTGGAAATAAGAGGATGTGATATTGGATCAGAACAAGGCTGGTAAGTAGAACAAGACACGTTTAGAAGGGCAGACGTGGAGTAGTGCTTCAAACCACTGCTGAGTTACCCACATCCCATATCGGAGTGCCTAGTTTGAATCCCAACCACTCTGTGCCTCCTACCCAGCTTTCTGCTAATGCAGCTCCTGAGAGGCAGGGGGTGATTGTCGCTCCCCCTCTTCATGGAGGAGCAACACAGGACCTTGCCTAGGCTTCATATCTGAGTCACGGCACCATTATGTCGCTCCCCCTCTTCGTGGAGGAATGACACAGGACCCTGCGCTGTTCCTTCGTCTGCTCGGCCCTCCCCAGGTTTGCTGCCGGTTCTTCCCGGGTTGGCTACTATCCCTTCCACCTCCGTGGAAGGGCAGTTCCCCCTGGCCACATTCCCCACTTCCGCAGGGGAGCGGCACACCGCCGGCCGGCTTTCTCGGGGGCTGCACAGGTGTTCCTTCAGATGTTCCCCTTAGATGTTCCTGGTGCATGCCGTCTCTCTCCTCCTTTATAGTCCTCCTCCGCCAATCCCAACTCGGCTGCCCACACGCCGAGTACGCTGCTCTCCTCCAATCAGGAGCAAGTCCTACAGTTTATCAGTTGAACTGGAGGCAGCTGTGCGGAAGCTGTTTTCTCCTCTCCCAGCGCCATATTGTGGGAGAGCAGATGCATAGAATAAGTCTTAATTCCAGTAACTCAGTCTAGTCCGGATTGCTCCCCACAGGTGATGGTTCTGCTACTTAGGTTTTTTTTTTTTTTTTTTTTCAAGATTTACTTATTTAAAAAGCAGAGTTACAGAGAGGCAGAGGCAGAAAGAGAGAGATCTTCCATCCTCTGGTTCACTCCCCAGATGGCTGCAATGGCTGGAGCTGTGCCGTTCCAAAGCCAAGAGCCAGGAGCTACCTCTGGGTCTCCCACATGGGTGTGGGGGCCCAAGCACTTGGGCCATCTTCTACTGCTTGTCGCTCCCCCTCTTCATGGAGGAATGACACTAAACCCTGCCTAGGCTTCATATCCAATTCACGGCTCCATTATGTCGCTCCCCCTCTTCGTGGAGGAACGACACAGGACCCTGCGCTGTTCTTTTGTCTGCTCAGCCCTCCCCGGGTTTGCTGCTGGTTCTTCCCGGATTGGCTACCGTCCCTTCCACCTCCGTGGAAGGGCGGTTCCCCCTGCCACATTCCCCACTTCCGCGGGGGAGCGGCACACCGCCGGCCGGCTCTCTCGGGGGCTGCTCAGGTGTTATTCGGATAGATGTTCCTGGTGCATGTTGTCTCTCTCCTCCTTTATAGTCCTCTTCCACCAATCCCAACTCTGCTACCCACACGCCGAGTACGCTGCTCTCCTCCAATCAGGAGCAGGATCAGCTCCTGCAGGTCATCACTCAAGTTGGCGAGAGGCAGCTGCGTAGAAGCTGTTTCCTCCTCTCCCAGAGCCATATTGTGGGAGAGCAGATGCATAGAATAAGTCTTAATTCCAGTAACAGTCTAGTCCGAGTTGCTCCCCACACTGCTTTCCCAGGCATAGCAGAGAGCTGGATCGAAAGTGGAGCAGCCGAGACTCGCACCGGCATCCACATGGGATGGCAGCACTGCAGGCAGTGGCTTTACCTAATGCGCCACAGCACCGGCCCCTACCTATATTCTTGACTCCTGGCTTTGGCCTGGCCTACACCAGCCCCATTGCTGCAGGCATTTGGGAAGTAAATGAGTGAGCGATCTGTCTTACGTATACATACATAAATCTTGGAAAAACAAAAAATAAGGAAGAAAGAAAAAGAACTGTTTAAAGAGGAAGGGAAATAGGTACTTTTTTGAAAATAAGAATACGGGGAGTGGGCGGCACTGTGGCATAGCATGTAAAACCACCTCCTGTGATGCCAGCATCCTGTGTCAGTGCTGGTTTGAGACCTGGCTTCTCCAGTTCTGATCCAGCTGCTTGCTAACGTGCCTGGGAAAAGCAGGGAAAGATGGCTCAAGTGCTTGGACCCCTGTACCCACACGGGAGACCTGGATGAAGCTCCTGGAAGAGCTCTCTCTCTCCCTCCCACCTTCCTTCCCTCTTTCTCTGTTACTCTGCCTTTCAAATAAATAAAATCTTAAAAAAAATTTTTTGGGATGCTGTTAGCAGAAATATTCATCAAATATTCCTGAACACGGACACTATATATATAAAGACAAACTATACTGTCTACAGGGCATGGCATAATAAAGAGAGCAACAAATTGAAATTGGTCTAATAACGCAAGGTCAAGAACAAAGAAAGAAAGATACAGAAATTGCGAGGCAAAAGTCCAATACGGGAGAGTACTGAAGAGGGCTTGTAATAGATTGTATGTCTAGAGCAAAGAGGGAGGCATTAAGGTTAACTCCAGAGAGTAAAATCTGTGCAAATGAATGAGTAAATATTTATCAAGCACCTTTCATGTGTATCTGTCTTACAAAGCATTTTACTTCATTCTTATAAACGTCCGGGGATAGTAATTATGACCCATATTCTAAATATAGAAAAGGTGGGATCAGGTAGTTTAGGTATCTTATCCAAGGTCACATACCTGGTTAGTAGTAGTCATATAATTCCAAACTTGTATGCCTTCCACTATATCACAGTTAAAAACAGCCAGGCATGGATGAATGCCAAGGTGTCTTAGACTGTAAATGGTAGCATGCTTCTAAACTAAAGGGACACACACACACACACACACACACACACAATTTTTACTATTCAATGGCTATATAAGGAACTTCAAAAGTTCTTGGCAAATTAAATTAAAAGGTAAGCTTATTTTGGTACAAAAAATGTTTGCAATCCATTCATACAAATATTTCAGCACTACATTAAGGATATACATATTACTGTACCTGTCTGTAATTTAAAGCATCCAGATAGATGGAGTTTTGAGCAAAAACCACAGATTTACAAGGCATGTTGATTCCCAAAGCAAGTGTTCCAGTAGCTGTCACCACCTAGAAAGAGAATAAAATAATAACTTCATAAAATTTTAATAAAATAAAAGACTTACATGTCTTTGCTGAAAAAAACTGAATTCAAATCGCAGGGGGAACATCAGAGATACTATACACATTTAGTATTCTTGCTGTTTCACAAACACACCAAATACATTCTAAAATCAAAGCCAACACAATGCTTCTTCCAAATATTTATTTTTCTGGCGCCTTCAATTCTCTGCTAAAATGTCACAGGAATCTCTGGACCACCAAGTCTGTAATAACTACTCCATCATTTTCTAACTCTTTGTCCTACAGTAATTGTTTTCGTAGTAGTGATTGCTTCAATAAAATTTCTTGTTTCTTTGTCCTAAACTTCAAGCACCATTCACCATTGTATCCCTAGCACCAATATTACCAAGATCGTACATGATAAACTTTTAGTAAATATTTAAAACTATATAACTAAAAAGAGAATTTCTCTGTAGTAGTAAAACAATATTTTTATAAGCCCACTTTAGGGCAATTACATACTTCATCTAAAAATCTATTGAGGTATCTATGGAAATAATGCATCTCTGTGATGACAGCAAAGTAAAGTTTCTTTTCCCCTTAAGTGGCCGTGATAACTACCAGAAATGGAGTAAGATACTAATGTCAAAGTTTACCAACAAAATCCAACATTTGTTCATTGTTTTACATAACGCTTGGTATTTCTATTGTCTTCTCTCTTTATGTTGATTGTCATTCATTCCATGGTTAATGTTTAAGAATATGGAGAATTTTCTCAAATTGTTTTGACAGATCTGTACATCTGTTAAAATCTTAAATACTATTAACTGTTTTTTAAAGTTTTTAAAAAATAAATAGAAAAGAATGTTAAATTTAGAAAATAAAAATGTGTTCTCTATCACAAATTTGTCACTCTTTCCATAGTACCTTTACTAGGTAATCAGTTAATTCATTAAACTATTAGTAACTGAGTAACCACTACTAAAGAGATATAATTTCAGACACAGGATATGCTAATCAAAATAAGTATATCCATTTCCTCAATTCATAATCATGTAGAAAATTTTGTCTCAGGTTATTAACCCTTAAGATAAGTAAATTTATTACTTGAGAAAAGGTAACAAAGTTGTTAATTATAAACTTTGTTTTTTCTGGATAACAGAATTACTTTTTAACTATGGTGTCTGATTTTCCTTGACATTCAGTTTAAAGGCGTTACCCAGAGTAGCCGAATCAATCTCCATCTCTCTATTCTCTCCCTCTTATATATAGACACATACATATGAAGAGTGCATGTCATGCAAAATTTAGTAAGGATAATTTTGTGAATTTAGAGTCTAATTTTAAATTTTTACCCGAGATTTAAGTTTACTAGGAAGTTTTTAAAGACTCTGTGAATTTATCCAGAACATTCTCAGGTGTCCTCCTGCAACATACTAAAGAAAACATCATAAGGGTTTGATCTCAAAGTTACTCAAGTTACTTACCTATTTTCCATTCTCAGTGATAGTAGAGAGAGCATTTCAGAATGACACCTCTAAACATTAACCACTTTGCTAGATATGCAGGAGGCCATGAGGAACCAAAATCAGGGAACTTCAAGAGTTCACAGAAAAATGGAATTAAAAAATAAGTTGATTTCAGCGCAAATTTGAAATCCCAGAATTTTTCGTAAAATGCATTTTCCATGAACTCTTTGAAGACTGAGCATATGCATGGAGTTCAAAATTCATTTCCACCAAAATCAACTATCTTTCAATTCCATTTTCAGAAAATATCCATTCTTGCTCTTATTTCAGATATTAAATTAGCAAAGTGCCAGACTCAATTTGCTGAGGTGAACCTGTCCTGATTTGGGGAACAGGTCATCCCGGGGAAGGGGCAACTCTGGGGTAGAGAGCAGACACCCCTGTGCCTGTGGGAGTTTTGGACAGAGGCCACAGAGCTGAGAGGGATGTGGGTAGAGGCTAGAGGACTGAGCACCCACCCCGTCTGATTACGGAAGCTCAGAGCTCCCTGTGCACTGGGGACAGATGGCTCAGGGGTCACAGCATAGAGTGAGTTGGAGCTCTGTGCAGTGTGCATGCCTGACTGGAGGAGATACACAGACACCGTGAGCTCCCTCTAGGCTGTGAATCACCTTGCTCACCTTGAAACAGACAAGGGCTGGGACTGTGCACATGCTTGCCAGTTCCAACATCTCCTACCCCTACTGACTGCAGCCAGAGGGGCTTTATCACATCCAACTTGAGTGTCAGCCTGGACTCTTGCCCTACCCACAAACAGTGGCCAGAACACCTGGCCCCACCCAAAACACTCTTCAAACGCTGGTGTGAGCCTTAGGCACTCCACTGAGTGAGAGAGGCACGTTTCTAAGAATAAAGCCTTCAATTGAAAAAAAAAAAAAACTTCCAGAGGAATTAGCAACAAGCGATTCCCCCGAAATGTGTAAAAACCAATATCGAAAACAAGAAACATAAACAGGAGGGAAATATGACTCCCCAAAAGGACACAGTAAACCATCAGTATTGGATGTGAGGCAGAGACTGATGACATGCCCGAAAAGGAATTCAAAAGACTGATTGAAAGGCTACTCAAGAACAGAGCAACAGTTACATGAATTAAAGAAATCTGTACATCCATTGAGGAGTAATTCTGCAATGCAATTTACAGATGCAATGCAATCCCAATCAAACAACCAGGGACACTCCTCACAGATCTAGAAAAATACAATCCTAAAATTCATATGAAAACATAAAAAACCTGAATAGTCAAAGCAATCTTAAACAGAAAAAAAAAAAAGCTGGAAGAATCACAATTCCAGATTCCAATAGATAATACAGGACTGTTATAATCCAAACAGCTTAGTACTGGCACAAAAACAAGACATGTAGACCAACAGAATAAAATAGAAACCCAGAAATTAATCCATGTATCTGCAACCAATTAATCTTGCACAAACAAGCTAAAACCACACCTTAGAAAAAGCAGAGTCTCTTCAACAAGTGATGCTGGAAAAATTGGATTTCCACATGCAGAAGTTTGAAATAAGCCTCCTACTCTATACTCCATACAAAAAAAAAATCAACTCACAATGGATCAAGAATCTAAACTGAAGACCTGAAACTTTCAAACTACTAGAGGAAAACATAAGGGAAGTGCTACAGCTCATTGGCCTAGGCAAACATGTCTTAGATAAGATCCCAGCAACACAGGCAATAAAAGTAAAAATAGACAAAGGTGATTACATTAAGCTACGAAGCTTCTGCACAGTAAACTGAACAAAATGAAGAGACAACAAACAGAATGGGAGAAAATATTTGAATATGCATCCAGGAAAGGATTAATAGCCAGAATATATAAGGAGCCCAAGAAATTCTGACAACAAAACTAAAAACCACTATTGTCACCTCCAGTTAGAATGGTTATCATTCAAAAATAAAAAAAACTACACATGCTGACAAGGATGTGGAGAAAAGGATATCCTAACACACTGTTGGTGGGAATGTATACTGGTACAGTCATTATGGACGACAGTATGAAGATTCCTCAGAAAACTAAAAATAGCTGTATCATATGACCCAGCTATCCCAACCCCTGGGAATATTTCTAAAGGAAATTAAATCTGCATATGAGTTATCTGCACTTCCATGTTTATATCTGCTCAATTCATAACAGCCAAGATACGGCATCAACCTAGATGTCCACCAGCTGATGACTTCATAAAGAAAATATGGAATATACACAATGGAATATTACTCAGCCATAAAAGAATACATTTGTAACAAAATAGATGCAGCTGGAGATCATTATGCTATATGAAATAAGCAAGACCCAAAAAGAAAAAAATCACCTTCTCTTATTTGTGGTCGTTAATAGAGAGCAGATAACAAGTATGTGGCTATCAGATCATTTGTTATATAATTACAAATATTGCCTCGCTGAATCACACCATGTAAATCACAATATACTCTTGGTTCACATGTTGAGGAAAAAAGAAACAGAGAGGGTACTGGTAACACTCTGTTCTTCATTTGGGTGTCGGTTATGAGTGTGATCGGATGACAATAAAATTCATTTATCTGAAAACTTGGGTGCATTCCTACTAAAAAAATGGCTTTAATTCTCATTGAAAACACAAACAACACTTCAGATTCCCTCTCCCAACAAAATGAGACGGGAATATGCAGTCCCATCATGGTGGTGAAAGGAAGGGGAGAAATGGAGGAAAAGGGGGAGGAAGGAATTGCAAGAGGAAAAAAAGGTGGTTATATTATTTACTATTTGTGAACAATCACATTCAGATAGTCACAACTTCAATTTTTATAACAAAATGCTTTACCTACCCTAATAAATCCTTTCCTAAAGAGAATTTCAACTAACTGTTTTTCCTTGGCGCCCATGGAGCTGTGATGATATCCAATACCTCTTTCTGCCAAATCTTTCAGTTCGCGGCCTTTTCTTTGAAATTTTACTCGGTCAAACACCATCTGCAAAGTCTAAAAGAAGCCAGGGGTTAGGGAAATCAGTAATTTCTTACCTGCTTTTAATGTAACCATAATTTAAAATGTGTAAGTGAAAATACCATGCATTCTATGTAATAATTTGGCTACCTCGAGGCAACTGTTTGAAATAACTCCGTATGAGTAAAAACAATGTCTTAGGATAGTTACAGGAACCACAAGAAAAATCTTTCCAATTTTTGAACAGACTGCCTCAAAAGCACTGACAAAGTTGTAGTGAAAACACTCAGAGTAGTGTGAGCAAATGGCAGGTACTCCTGGAGCCGGCCCAGAGAGGAGAGACTTCGCCAAGAAGGCAGAGCACTCTCCTTACTCTATATGTGGGGGAAGGCCTACTTCTCACTGCAAGTCAGACGCAAATGACTTTAAAAGTTTCCATGTGCTAACAGGGAAATCCAGTAGTGTTCAGAATTATATGGACAAAGGCAAATTACTGCTTATGAATGGAGAGAGAGAGGAAAGTGTAAGAACCCAAAAGCAAAGGGCTGATACTGATTATTTCAGTTACACAGTCATCCATACAGTGGGATATCCAGGACCTATTTAAATGTGATATACATGCATGATGATGAAAAAGGAAGACATCATGAGGATATTTGAAAACATACACACACACATCATGGGGTCTTTGAAAAGGTTGTGGAAACTGTGTACTGTAAGACAACAATATAAAAAATTTTTGGAATTCATGCATCAAATAAATTAATCTATTATTTGTCTAATTTTTGAAAATGTATTAATTTGAGAGACAGAGAGAGAGCCCTCATGTACTGGTTCACCCCTCAAATATATATAATGACTGGGACTGGAACAGAGCAAAGCCAGGAGCCAAGAACTCAATCAGGAATCTCATGTAGGTGGCAGGTGCTCACTCACTTGAGCTATCATCACTATATCCCAGGGTGTGCATTAGTAGGAAGCTGGGGCCAGGATATGAAGCAGGGTATCTACCCCAGGTATTTCAGCCTAAGACATATGCATCTTAACTTCTAGGCTAACCAGTCCCAAAGCTGTGTTTCTTATTTCAAAATAATTTGAAAAGCAGTGAGAAAGAGAGAGAGAGACAGAGACAAAGACAGTGACAAAGGGGGAGATCCTCTTTCCATTGGTTCACTCCCCAAATGGCCACAACGGTCTAGGCTGGGCCAGGCCAAAGCCAAGTGCCAGAGCGCCATCTTAGTCTCCCATTTGGGTGGCAGGGGCCCAAAAACCTGAGCCATATTCCACTGCCTTCACAGGTGCCTTAGCAGGGAAGCTGAGTGGGAAGAAGAGCAGCAGGGGACATGAACCAGTGCTCCAATATGCGATGCTGATGCTGCACGCAGTCGCTTCACCCAATGTGCCAGAACACCAGACTCTAAATTTATCTTTTAGTTCCATTTTCCCATAAACCTTCTGAAGTACCCTCATATATAAGAAAATAAAAGGTTCACCTGAAAGGGCAGTGGTTATTATCAATTTTTCAAATTTGTCTATGATAAAGATTTCAAAGTAGCAATGGCACACCACTTTTAGACATTCCAAAGCCTCTTTGGTGGAATTTTTTACCTGTAATATAGAAAGCCTAGGACTTTAAGACATTCTGTGTATTGTGCCACGTGTACTCAAATTTTCAAATGAGGCCAGGAGATGACAACAAGGATTCAGGATGTGGAACACAATACAATAGAAAGAAATCATGAGGAGCCTGCGCTGTGGCGCAGCGGTTTAACACCCTGGCCTGAAGCGCCAGTATCCCATATGGGCACCGGTTCAAGTCCTGGCTGCTCCACTTCCTACCCAGCTCTCTGCTATGGCCTGGGAAAACAGTAGAAGATGGCCCAGGTCCTTGGGCCCCTACACTCGTGTGGGAGACCTGGAAGAAGCTCCTGGCTCCTGGCTTCGGATCGGCGCAGCTCTAGCCATTGCGGCCAGTTGGGGAGTGAACCTCTCTCTCTCTCTGCCTCTCCTCTCTATGTGTAACTCTGACTTTCAAATAGAAAGACAGACAGACAGGAAGGAAGGAAGGAAGGAAGGAAGGAAGGAAGGAAGGAAGGAAGGAAGGAAGGGGAGAGAGAGAAAGAGAGAAAGAAAGAATGAAAAAAAGAAAGAAATCATGAAAGGCCAGAAATTCCCAAGGCAGAACTATCAGTGAGCAAGCAATAATCGACACATCCTGAACCTATCTTTTTGGGGACACCTGCTGCAGATCTTCTGGTTACTCTTCTGCCAGTAGCCAGAAGACCAAATACGAAAGTCCCCTTGTGGTAGAAGTCGCATGTAGAGCTCGCGTGAGACCCTGTCTAGTGAGGACCAATGAGGAAAGTATACTGGGAACAGCGCCCTGAGTGCTGACCTCAGCGTCTATCACTTTCCGATCAGCGTATGTGCAGTCCTGGGGGGTCTCCATGTTCTTCTCCAGACTCCTCAGGAGACTGTCATGTTCAGCTTCACGTATTAGGCTTTGGTCTGTAGTTCTGTTCTTCTGACCTTTTTCATCTCTGTTCATGCAAATAAAATTGTATGTAATGAATATTCGTACTTGGCCATCAGACTTAAAACCAATCATTCTTATCCATCAATCTTTCACTTTTATGCGCATCTGTACCACGAGAGGGGAATCTTCAAATGCACCTGCTTTTCTGCCGCAGGAACTTGGACCCCCTCATGGGAAAATTCCACTATGTTTTCCTATGTTGTCACGTTCTCGTCCCTTCTCCCACAGCCTTCTCACAGAAGCCAGTTCCGCCCAGACAGCCATGCTTCCCCTTGCTAGAGTGATGGTCATTTTCTCCCCGTTCACCGTCAAGGCTCCAGGCCCCCTGGTGAGCTCGGCGTCCTCCTTGCTCACTGCAGTTCCAGGCCATCCGCCTTCCCTTCTGGGCTGCTACAGCTGCGCTGAGTTTGACTGCTGAGAGTTCTCAGCTGCCATCATTTCCTAGAGAATTACCCACCATTGACAGGAGCCTTCTGGAAACTTCTGGGAAGGAAGCAGCCTCTTCTGGAGGTGAGGAAGTAGCCCACAGCCAATAACCGACTGCTGACATTCAAAAATCAGTACCCAGAGGCTAGCATTGTGGCAGCTTAATGGGGTTAAGCTGCTGCCTGGGACACCAGCATGCCATGTGGGTGCTGGTTTGAGTCCCTACTCATTTTCCAACCCAGCTCACTGCTAATGCACTTGGAAAGCAACAAATATGGCCAAGTGTTTGGCACCTGCACCCATGTATGAGACCCAGATGAAGTTCCTGGCAGCTGGCTTCATTCTGGCCCAGCCACAGCTGTTGTGGCCATCTGGAGAGTGAACCAGCAGACGGAAGATATTGCTCTCTATCTCCTTTTTCCTTCTCCCTCTCACTTTGCTTTTCAAATACAAAAAATAAGCCTTTGGGGCCGGTGCTGTTGCGAGTGGTTAAAGCCACCACCTGCAGTGCCGGCATCCCATATAGGCACCGGTTCAGGTCTCAGCTGCTCCTCCTCCGATCCAGCTCTCTGCTATGGCCTGGGAAAGCAGTAGAAGATGGCCCAAATCCTTGGGCCCCCGCACCTGTGTCAGAGACCCTGAAGAAGCTCCTGGCCTTAGATTGTCCCAGCTATGGCCGTTGCAGCCATTTGGGGAGTGAACCAGTGGATGGAAGACCTTTCTCTCTCTCTCTCTCTCTCTCTCTCTCTCTGTGTAACTCTGACTTTCATGTAAATAAATAAATCAAAATAAAATAAATCAAATAAAACAAATAAAATAAATCAAAATAAAATAAATCAAATCAAATCAATCAAATCAAATAAATCAAATCAAATAAATAAAATAAAATAAACCTGTAAAAAGCATCAGCCCCCCAACTCAAAGCGGTACAATTCTGTGATAGCTTGCAGCTTCCAGTAGAGCCACATTCAGGCTATTGTAGTAGAACCTACATTCTTGCTTATCTGCACCTCCCCTCTCCTGCTTCTCGCACTTTCCTGCACATCCCTCAGAGAGCGCCCCTTCAGTAAATCTCTCCCATGGACATCCCCTTCTCAGCGTGTGTGCTAGGGAACCTGACCTGCAACAGGCCTCCACACACCCTGACCCGGACTGCCCTGTCAGCACACTGTATTACCCACTTCCTCTGAATATAACAGCCTTTCCCACACACCCAAATAGCCTTTCTTTAATCTTTTAGTTTGCCTCTTAATTGTGCACATTAGACAATTCTAAGTAAGAGAAGATAAGCTGGCTTGTATTCCGTCATCCGGTGTTCTCACCTCCCATTAACACTACACTTCACTCAGGGGAGACGCCGTAATGCTTGTAGAGCATGGGCAAACACCTTAGAGAGGCCCACATATTGGCATATAAGTTTTCAATCAAGACAAAAAAATTCCATAAAATACATTCTATCTTCCTACCTTGAAACTATAGCTCTACAACAACCTGGAATTTAAACTAGTGACTTCTGGGTGGGCATGTCTCCTCAGCTCCACTGACGTCTCATTTTCCAAGCATGGTACAGTCAAAGAAGGAAGGCCAGAGTGGCCCTCCCTAGCATGGGGACCCCTCAACCTCAGTATAAAAATTATGAAAAATATGACATCAAAACGTGCTGTCTTTTTATAGCTTGAATTGGTCACTAATGTAACTGCTTTTACTGCTCCAAAGAAAACTTGTCTGAGGAGAATCTGTTATTAGAAGGCTCACACTCCTAGACCATCTCTGCCTTGGCTCTTCATCGCCCAATTGCTAAGGAAACAGCAGAACAGTTAGAGGGGACATATGCAGAAGGAACAGCAGAAATTCCAGCTTGCTTTATGATTTGGGAAATCCGAGTCAGAGAAGTTCTAAAAGCTGGTTTAACATGGAGGGCAACAGCTACTGCTCACCCAAAAATTATTCTGGAACAGCTGTTACCTACCTGGCCGTATGCTCAGCACTGGAGATAAAAAAGAGGCAGACACATGGTTCCTGTTATAAGGGAGCTCAACATTTAGAAAGCAGAAACACATACAAATGGAAAACAGTAACACTTGTACATGACAATAACTGAACTACTATCAGAAGTATAGCAAGACATATATATATATATATATATATATGCCCTGTGAAAGTGGTAGAAGATGACCCGAGTCCTTGGGCCCCTGTACCCACAGGGGAGACCCTGAAGAAGCTCCTGGCTCCTGGCTTCAGATTAGCGCAGCTCCAGCCATTGTAGCCAACTGGGAAATGAATCAGCAGATGGAAGACCTCTCTCTCTCTCTCTCTCTCTCTCTCTCTCTCCCCCCCTCCCTCTCCCTCTCCCTCTCCCTCTCCCTCTCTACCTCCCCTCTCTCTGTGTAACTCTGACTTTCAAATAAATAAATAAATCTTTTTAAAGAAGTATAGCATGAACACAAGGGAAATGGTATTAAGTCTAACTGGGAAACCAGCTTAAGATTCAGAGAAGTCTGAACACAAGTTTTCAGGGCAGTCAGGAAGGAGGTCAATCAAAGCGAACAGTCAGTCCAGGGAGAGGAAGAGGTGCACAAGTAAGTCGTAAGAGGAGCACTATAAATGTTGGATATTGCCAGTGGGGAGTAGTATGACGTGAAGCTGAAAAAGATCAAGACGTGTTGATGTACTAATTAATATTCAAGTTTAGATTTCATCAGTCGATCACTGTAGAGCCCATCAAGGAAGAATATTAAGTATGGGAAAATTGGGGGAGGTCCTATTGCACAGTGGGTTAAACTACCACCTATGGTGCCGGCATCTCATGGGCACTGGTTTGAGTCCTGGCTGTTCCACTTTCCATCCAGCTCCCTGCTAATGCTCCTGGAAAAGCAGTGGAAGATGGTCCACTGGGCCCCTGCACCCAGATGGGATACCCAGATGAGGCTTCTGGCTCCTGACTTCAGCCTGGCCCAGCCCTAGCCATTACAGCAATCTGGGGAGTGAGGCAGCAGACGGAAGATCATTTCTCAGGCCATTAGCAGGGAGCTGGATCAGAACTGGAGCAGCCAGGATATGGACTGGTGCCAACATGGGATGCCAGTGTCACAGGTGGCATCTTTCTGCATCACAATTACTTTTTTTTAAAGATTCATTTATTTATTTGAAAGAGTTACACAGAGAGAAGGAGAGGCAGAGAGAGAGAGAGAGAGAGAGAGAGAGAGAGGTCTTCTATCTGTTGGTTCACCCCCCAATTGGCCACAATGGCCGGAGCTGCACCGATCCAAAGCCAGGAGCCAGAAGCCTCCTACAGGTCTCCCACGTGGGTGCAGGGACCCAAGGCCTTGGGCCATCCTTCACTGCTTTCCCAGGCCACAGCACAGAGCTGGATCGGCAATGAAGCAGCCAGGTCCTTAACTGGCACCCATATGGGATGATGGCACTGCAGGCAGCAGCTTGACCCACTACACCACAGTGCCGGCCCTCCCACTATTACTTATTTAGAAGGCAGAGTTACAAAAAGACACACACACAGAATCTTCCACCTGCTTGGTCAGTCCCCAAAGCCACAGCCAGGGCAGGACCAGGCTGAATCCAGGAGCCTGGAACTCCAACGGGGTCTCCCATGTGGATGGCAGGGACCCAAGTACTCAGGCCTTCTTCCACTGCCTACCCAGGTGCATTAGCAGAGAGACAGATCAGAAGTGGAGCACCTTGTACTTGAACCAGCATCCATACAGGATTCCAGTGTCACAGGCAGTGGCTTAACCTGCTACACCCCAACTCTAGCCGCATAACTCTATTACTTATAAAACTGTGATGGTATATAAAAGACATGTCTTTGTTGTGACGCAAGACAACGTGTGTAGGGTATGTTTAGGTCTTCTGAGGGTTGAATGGGAGTCAGACCTCACATGTGTGTCAAAAATATGCTTATTTTGAAGGATGATGATCTTGGTATGCAGTCTACCTAGGCTGGTAAGCTATGGTGCTGCCTCTCAAGTTCTAAGTGAGACTCACTCTTTCTCTCTTTCTTTTTTCTCTTTCTTTCTTTCTTTTTTTTTTTTTTTTTTTTTTTGACAGGCAGAGTGGACAGTGAGAAAGAGACAGAGAGAAAGGTCTTCCTTTGTCGTTGGTTCACCCCCCAGTGGCCACTATGGCCGGCACACTGCGGCCGGTGGACTGCGCTGATCCGAAGCCAGGAGCCAGGTGCTTCTCCTGGTCTCCCATGTGGGTGCAGTTGGGCCATCCTCCACTGCACTCCTGGGCCATAGCAGAGAGCTGGCCTGGAAGGGGGGCAACCGGGACAGAATCCGGCACCTCTACCGGGACTAGAACCCGGTGTGCCGGCGCCACAGGCGGAGGATTAGCCGCGGCGCCCGCCTGTGAGACTCACTCTTGCAATCGAAGATTATGATTATGGTTATGGACACTTGTCTTTGCTCGATTCTCCAATCCAAATTTACCCAATTTGCAAGCAAGTCCGAGCAATAACCAGAACTTCTTTGCAGAGCAGATTCACTTATTTTTCCTACTGTGAGTTAGAAAGAATTTTAACCCTTTGATGAGCAGTCTGTTTAAATACTCACAGCATCTTCTGTTTCTCTATGGATTTTTTTACTTTTCGAAGTTTATTAGCCATGTCTTGGGCTTCCTTATCAGCTTTGGGAGGTCGTCTTTTCTCTTGTTTATCCTCCAGGAATTCCTTCACACTTTTAGCTCTGTCTTCCACAGCTTCTAAGCTGAATCTAGAAACAAATAAAAAGAACCCTTGTCTGAAAATAACACCATAAACTTCAAAAGCTACTGTTACATTCTGACATGTACCTACTGGGTTTTGAATATTCATCTTTATGAGTTTTATTCTGATTATGTACACTAAGTGCTTTGGAAGAACAGACCCTTATTAACTAGCTTGCAATAATAATGGTTCCCGTATCCCCACCCTAGATGCTACCTTGGGGAAACGCTCAATAACAGCTCATGGAAACTTTCCCCATAAGAGAAGTTTGATATCCTATAGACAAGAGCTGGAAGACAATGGATCTTATTCACTTTTATACAGAATAAACCTACCCATCTCTGCCCCTTCCCAAAGGACAGAGAAAAAAACTTTTGCCATCAACAAATATTTGTTCACTTGGTAGGATGGAAAAGTTCATAACGTTCTCTAGCCTTTTGGAATGTGACTACTGCTTTCCCAGAGAACAGATAAACTCCAGGTGTTGCTGGCCTTCACAAACCAGGAATGTCTCTGAGGTCTAGGCCTTCTACCTTTTAGGAATAAGAATTCCTAGGAATATGAGGGTCTAGACCTCCTGGCACCTTGGGGCTTAAGCTAGGGATGTAGTCCAGGATGTAACCCTTGGGCTGTTCAGATCTCAGCACTTAACTAGATGGAGGGCAACAGACCAAACTTTCATAATACACGAGGAGTAAAATGTTACCAGAGGAAGTAACTGCAGACTCACATGCATTTCCCAGTACTGGGAACACTAGAAAACCTATGCAAGTTTTAATTCCCCACTGTATATTACTGGCAAAATGCTACAGGTAAAATAGCCAACAAACACTCTCACGCCGCTAACCAGAGTCTATTGGAACAAATCATTGATTTGGTCTATATAATAAAGTTTAAATGTCTCAGTGGCAAGGCAAAGGGCTTTTCCAAAGTATTCCAGAGCCAGAAGTATGGTTAACTAAGCCAAAGTAAATACCCTGGCACACTCATGAAGGAAAGATTAAGAAACTGACACATTGCCATATGGCAGGAAATTTCTAATAACAGACAGCAAGATAGTAACAGTAAACATATGTATTTACTATTGTCAGACATTAATTTAAGTGGCTTAAATATACTGCCTCACTGACGACTCACAAACCGTATGAGGACGGCCCTGTTATTATCCCCATCTTGCAGATGAAAACACGGGCGATTAAGTGGCCTACCTCACAGCCTCAGACCACAGCCTGCACGAGGCAGACTGGTCTCCAAGCCCATGATCTTCACCGGGACATTATGTTCCTTCTCATTCTGCATTAATGCAAGTCACTGTCATTATTAAATGGTATTGTTTCCATCATGGCCATTGTAAAACCGTAGATCACTTTGAACTGTTTGTCTCCTAAATGTTACTGATAACCTATGTAAACCAAGGTGACCCCAGAACTGGGTTGGTCGCCAATGATATTTTGTAGTACTATAGTAAGTGCTTTGTTTTTACTTAAGTCCTATCCGTACCCTATGTATTATTATTTTTATCATAGCATTTTTCAAAGTTATTAAGGAATTATCCAGAAGTGACACAGCTAACAAGTGGCAGAGGTAAGGTGCACTTTGGGCTGATGTCACGGCTCATTAGGCTAATCCTCCACCTGCAGTGTCGGCACACCGCGTTCTAGTCCCGGTCAGGGAGCCGGATTCTGTGCCGGTTGCTCCTCTTCCTGTCTAGCTCTCTGCTGTGGCCCGGGAGGGCAGTGGAGGATGGCCTAGGTCCTTGGGCCCTGCACCTGTATGGGAGACCAGGAGAAGCACCTGGCTCCTGCCTTCGGATTGGCGTGGTGTGCCGGCCGCAGTGTGCCGCCGGAGCAGCCATTGGGGGGTGAACCAAGGGAAAAGGAAGACCTTTCTCTCTGTCTCTCTCTCACTGTCCATTTTGCCTGTCAAAAAAAAAAAAAAAAAAAAAAGAGTGCACTTTGGACCTGGCCATAAAGTGTGTGGTCTTAAGCACACACTGATACTGCCAGCAAACACTGCCGCGGCTCCATGACTGCTTTTCCAGAGACCGGAGTGTTGGAGGTTGATGGGGACTCCACTAATTGAAAAGACCCGAGAGGTACAGCTTCAGCCCAGACAAACCTCAGATCTCTTGATGACCTGAGGCTACTTAGGACTAAACCAAACTGCACAGGGCCAAGAAGGCTGCTTTATGGAGTCCAACCTTGCATAAAACCATGCAGAAATTATACTCCCCAAGTAGAATTAGATGTCGGGGAAATATCTTACTGTGTAAGTATCTTCTGGCTCTATCTATTTTGAGCTAAAGTCACTGAGGAAATAGATGCAAGAGGGTCCCCTCTTTTGCTCCTTTTTTTTTTTTTTTTGGACAGGCAGAGTGGACAGTGAGAGAGAGACAGAGAGAAAGGTCTTCCTTTGCCGTTGGTTCACCCTCCAATGGCCGCCGTGGCCAGCGCACTGCAGCTGGCACACTGCGCTGATCCGAAGGCAGGAGCCAGGTACTTTTCCTGGTCTCCCATGCGGGTGCAGGGCCCAAGCACTTGGGCCATCCTCCACTGCACTCCCGGGCCACAGCAGAGAGCTGGCCTGGAAGAGGGGCAACCGGGACAGAATCCAGCACCCCGACCAGGACTAGAACGCGGTGTGCCGACACTGCAGGTGGAGGATTAGCCTAGTGAGCCGTGGCGCCGGCTCTTTTTCTTAAACATAGGAGATTAAATGGCCCTGTGAAAGATGCTGTTACAGCACAGAGTGACATTCTTATCTTCACGAACAGGAAGTGGAGGTAAGGGAAGTCTGTGTCAAGCTTTGTTAAACTAACCATTTTCTTCCTGGGCATCTCACCCAGTTAACTACCCTAGTCCAAGCCTTTTAGCCCTGTCACACTTTCACCTCGACCCTCTCTGCCAATTAAGTAGAAGTGTCCATCTCTAACTTTGTCTTTGGGTCTTTGTTTCCTAACAAAGGCCCCCATGCCATTTAACCTTATTTTAAATAAATCTGGGATGGGCATGTAGCATAGAGAGTAAAGCTACCACCTGCAGCACCAGCATCCCATATAGGTGCTGGTTTGAGTCCCAGCTGCTCCACTTCTAATCCAGCTCCCTGCTGGTGCACCTAGGAAAGCACAGAGGATGGTCCAAATGCTTGCAACCCTGTGCCCACATGGAAGACCTGGAAGAAGCTCTTGGCTTCAGCCTGGCACAGCTCCAGCCATTGTGGCCATTTGGGGAGTGAACCAGCAGATAGACAATCTCTCTCTCTATCTCTCCCTTTCCCCCTTTGTCTGTAACTCTACCTTTCAAAAAAATGTTAAAAAGAATTTGTATGCATTTCTCTACCTTGTTTTGATAGAGGCTCATCTTAAATATCCTAAGGGGCTAAAAGTAAAATTTTGCTTTCCCACAAAAATAGATATGAATATACATGAACTGTAAGTATATAACAAAAGTATTTTTGGATTTTTATTTTGCAATTCAGCTTTATGAAATAATTCATAGGTAAAGAATTTTAATTAGTATTTGTTTTTATTTATTTGAAAGGCAGAGAGACAGAGAGAGCGAGCTCTTAGCCAATGGCTCAATTTCCAAATGCCCACACAGCCAGAGTTAGGTCAGGTGGAAGCCAGGAGCCTGTAACTCAATACAGGTCTCCCATGTGGGGAGCAAGGACCCAACTACTGAAGGCATCACCTGCTGCCTCCCAGGGTGCATGTTCGTTGGAAACTGGAATAGGAACTGGAGCAGGGACTGGAACTCAGGACTCCAGTACGGGATACAGGCATCCCAAGAAGTGCCTTAACCACCGTGAGAGAATTATTTGGTTTCTAACTAAAATCTACAGCCATCCATGAAAACAAAGTAGGTGAACTGTGAAGTGTCTTGGTGACAAAGAAATTTATTTCCGTGGTAGGTGTTTTGGTGCAATTGGTTAAGCCATCAGATAGGACTGCCACATCTCATACTAGAGGACCTGGGATAGAGTCTCACTTCTGGTTCTGTTCCTGCTTCCTGTTAATACCTGGGAGGCAGCAGGTGATTTCTCAATTCATTGGGTCCCTGCCATCTACGTAGGAAACCTGAATGGAGTTCCAGGCTCCTGGCTTCAGCCTGGCCCAGCCCTGGCTGTTGTAGGCATTTGGGCATAGAAAACTCATTCTCTCAATCTCTCTCTCTCTTTCTCTCTCTCTCAAATACAAATAAACATTAAGAAATTTATTTTTCTTGTTCCAGTAATAAGATAAAAGAAGCCAATTTTATTATAATCCTCCAAATTTCCAAATGCAAACTTATGTTCACTTGTCATCATTATTTTAAATATACATCATCAATGCTGATTTATTACTATGTCTGTTGTATAGGAACAAGTTCCATTAAACTTTACCAGTTGAGCAAAATACTATGCCTTCATTTATGTAAAGCTTCTGCAGCTTAAGTAGAATTAGAAATTATCTAAAGTAAATAATACATTCTGTTCTGATCTCAAACTGTGTTTTCTTTTTCTTTTTTGACTTATTTATTTGAAGGGCAAAGTTATACACAGAGAGAGGGGTCTTCTATCTGCTGCTTCACTCTCCAAGTATCTGCAACAGCCAGGGCCAAGCCAGGCTGAAGCCAGGAGCCAGAAGCATGGCAGCAGGGGCCCAGACACCTGCAGCATCTTCTGCTGCTCTTCCCAGGCCATCAACAGGGAGCTGGATTGGAGGTGAAGGAGCTGTGTCACTAACCCCCCTACCCACCACACTGCAAAGCAGACCTCTAAACTATGTTTTCAAGGTTAATCTAGGATATGGAATGTTAATCCACTTAATAAATTACCTTTTGTGTTACTTTATCAAAACTGGGCTATCCTGTTCAATTTTAAACTATTTTTATACCATAACATTCAAAATTTATCAAGTGTCTATCATAGTTCTCATTAGTATATACTTGAAATAATAAAAAAAAAACCCTCTGGCAATAACTATTCTAGCCTGTTGTAAGGATGTTTTAATTTTATATGGAGTACTTGTATGCATATTCATTCAAATTTTTTACAAACAGCCTAGGTATGTACTGAAAATTACTAAGACCTAAGTAATAGTTTAAACAGAAAACAAAAAATGAAGTAACAAACTAAAGAATGAGGTGATTTTTAATAACCCAACTAAGATATTTCATAAAAATTGAACTAAAAGAATAGACTTTTCAAATAAGACTTCTGCATTTGAATAACAAATGAGCACCAAAATAGCAATGAATACTATACTACAATGGTTTGTGTAACTCACCACATCTTAAAGGAATACAAATTGTAATACAAAATACAAATTGTAATACAAATTTCCAGCAAAAACAAATAGCTTACATGAAAAACAGTGCTGGCAACTTCTCCATTTCCCTTAGCTTTTCCACAAGAAGTGGGAACATTCTTGTCATGTTTCCTGTACTAACATCTGAATCAGGACTAAGATGTTTCAGTACCATTTTGGCCTGTAACAGTGAATAAAAAACACTTATTTTTACGTTCTGTGTAGAAAAGAAAAGATTACTGTTTTTGGCTAAAATACTTTCATCGTTGTCTAAGCTATGTTTTTATGGTTCTTTAAAACAGTTCTTTAAAGTGCATCATAAAATTATGCTTAAACCTATCAAACAAATAGACTAAAGAACAAAACCTTGGCAGCAACAATGCATATACCCACATATTTGCAACTTAACACGTGATTTTTTAAGACAACCTAAGTCAGGAAAAGAATTATTCACTAAATGATGCTGAAGGAAAGGGATGAGTCAGTCCCTCTCCATGGAACCGACTGGTTTCTGCATGTAGGAAAATCACTTGCAAACATATTTTCAAGATTTTTTAATGACAAAGTAACAAGAAGAAAATATAAGTTAATTCTGTCAAGTTTCTGAATGGGAGGAGATTAAAGTATAGCAGAAAAAAATATGACATGAGAGAATCTAATACACGTTACTCTAAAAAATAACAAACCACCATTTGCGACAATAGCAAAATTCAAAGCATAAAGACCATCCACTTCCTCAAAATAAATATGCACAACTTGTATGATTGAGGTCAAGACTCTGAATCAGAAATAGTTACCACAACTGAAAGTGAACACAAAAATATTCCAAGATGAACAAAAAGGAGTAAGACTTTCTTCCTGGCACCTAGCACCGTGAGTCCCGCCTTTCTATGCACAGGGCTTGGAGAGGACTATTCCTGTGCAGAGCCACCCCTCTGTTCTTGTTGGGTGCAACATCTGGGAGGCACCAGCCACCTCTGGCCTACGTCTTAGGAGGCACTGAGCCCAAGACAAAGACCCATTTCCTTTCTCTTTTTATTGTACCTCAGAATCACTAGACTTCATGTTCAACTTACAATTCTAAGATGAAAACTGAAGATTAAGAAAACATAAAATAGTATTAACTGAATACACAACCCAAAACAATAGAGTATAGGATGTTTTCCCTAAAACATAAAGCCTGTGAAAATCACCTGCTGTACGTGGCCATCTGTAATCCAGTTCCTTAACTCTGCCTTTAAGCTCTCTTCATATTTTCTAGCATCCAACTTCTTAATGACTAATTTATTCTTAAAATGAATGAAGTTCTCTGGACACAGTTCCTTGAAAACAAAGACCACAGGATTAAGCACCATGCAATAAAAATCCAAAGCTGTTTCCTATTTGCACATCTCATTGACAGTACTACTGCTGCAAACCCTGATGACAGAGATGCAGGAAATTCTTTTTACCTCCCATAGCTTCTAATACATAGAACTCTTAGGATGGACCAACTCCTAAAAAGAGAGGATATGAGTAACAAATGGAAACTAAAAACAGCAATCAGGACATACAGAAAGGAAACAAGTGGCGTGAAATACAAGTCCAGGGTGTATGAGATTCAAATATCGTACTATCCCAGAAGTTGACAGAAGAAATATTTGCAGGAATTAAAACATAATTCAAAACCATTAGAGTAAAATAAAATAAAAGTGTTTGGAAGAACAACATGTGAGAAGGGACAATTTTTCACTAATAATTTTCAAAGAACAGATGCAAGTGATTAGAAAGGAAGAGAGTTTGTCCTGCTGTGCAGCAATGCTATAATTTCTTATAGCATGAATTTCCGGGATTATTATTTACCTGAGCCCGGGGCCAACTGTCCCAGATTTGAAACATGGTGTCATAAAGTTGGACGCTCTCTCGAGGTGAAAGGGAAAGATCAGACGGGAATCCGTAGTGTTCGATCTATGTAAACAAAATTGAGCTTAATATTCCTCTTATTTTATCTGATGTCTTATCCTTTGCCTCATGGCCACTATCATGAACCCACAGACATTAAAAAGAATTAAACTAAAATGTTCAAATACTGACAGGTGCCAAGCACTTAGAAAATATAACCTGCATGTTTCTTAACTATTAAGATTATTCTTAATTATTAAGATTAAGAAAAAACCTGAAAGTCCACCAAAAACAGCTTTAACGTTACTCCATATGACCCTTCAATGGGATAATTGTGTGTGAACTATCTTCTAATAATTCTAATCAGAGTACTAGCGTGCTGAAAGATTTGTAATTTAGACAAGATGAGACTACCTCCACCCTACAATAAACAGTGAAATTGATTTAATTGTGGAGTCTTCACATTTATGTGTGCCAAGCCAGGATAAAGAAGGCAAATTAGGTATTCTATGACGCTGTTTTAGCAAACCACATTATCCCTGATGCCATCCATAATGTTAAGCATTGATCCAGGCTGAGCTGCCGAGAGACAGCAGTTCTTGGGAGGACTTCCTGGAGTGGACAGCTCTCCAGGAGTCAGCAGCTGCCCCTGTGTGGCATGATAATGGTAAAGGCCACGCAACTCTGCACTTGGCCAGAAACAAGCCTCATGGGATTGAAGATGATCCCTCAGTGCAGGGGGATCAGGGCCAGCTCGCTTGTCCTGCCCAGTCCCTTCCCGCCTGCAGTCATTTTTATGATACAGCTATGAGAGAAAGAACCAAGGTAGATGGTTTTATTCTTTATGTTGACACAACTTTTTTTTTTTTTACTTGCCACTGTTTTTTTTGTTTTGTTTTGTTTTGTTTGTTTGTTTGTTTGGCAATTTGAAGTATACCAAAGAAGATCAGGACTTGGAAGGTCTACTCCCATGCAAACAATCGCCACACATTCAACTGTCAACACACATTTACTAATGCCTGAGCCTTTGCGGTCCTCCTGTACGCATGCTACAAAAATCTAGAAGACTTGAGAATATTCATCCACAGCATGACCTTTGCAACAGTTGTAGGGGTCAGAGCACACTGGACCAGTTCTGTTGCTTTCCCATTGTTGCATTAATAGCTACTGAGAATACAGGAAAGGCACTTGGATCAAAATGGCAATGCCAGCGAGCACTCCAAACCACCACATATTCATTGCTGCTTAAAGACAACCTGCCTGGAGCCTTTTTTTTTTTTTTTTTTTTTTTGAGCACTTAAAAAAAAAAAGAAAGAAACTTGTTAAGATTCATTGTATTTTTTGAAAGGCAGAGCCACAGAGACGGAGGGTGAGAGAGAGAGAAATTTTTCCATCCGTTGGTTCACTCCCCAGACCACCTCAACAGCCAAGCTGGGCCAGGCCAAAGCCAGGAGCTTCATCTGGGTCTCCCACGTAGGTGGCAGGGGCTCAAACACTTGGGCCATCTTCTGCTGCTTTTTCCAGGCCATTAGCAGGGAGCTGGATCAGAAGTGAAGCAGCCAGGACACAAACCAGTGTCCACGTGGGATGCCAGCGTCGCAGGCAGCTTTACCAGCTATGCCACAATGCCCGCCCCTGCTTTGACACATTCTACACAAAATAAATAAGTTCGTAAAACTATTTGGGTATTTAATACTATCTTTGAGATTTATTTATTTATTTATTTGAAAGGCGAAATAACTGAGAGAGACATCTTCTATCTGCTGCTTCATTGCCCAAATGGCCACAATAGTCTGGTCTGGGCCAGGCCAAAGCCAGGAGCCTGGAACCCCCCCATGGGTGCAGGGGCTCAAGTACCTGGGCCAGTATCCACTGCCTTCCTGGGCACATTAGCAAGGAGCTGGCTCAGAAGTGGAACAGCCAGGACATCAACTGGCACTCAGATATGGGATGGCAGCTTGGCAAATGGCAGTTTAACCTGCTATGCCACAATGCTGGCCCCACTGGGCTATTTTTAAAATACCAATAACGAAAATGTCAGGTGATCCCTAGAAAGGGTAGAAGGGAAGGTGGAAGGAAGGAGAAATTAAAAAGAAAGCAACGAAAATGTCAGGTGATCCCTAGAAAGGGTAGAAGGGAAGGTGGAAGGAAGGAGAAATTAAAAAGAAAGCAAAAGAGAAAAGATCTTTTTAATTATGTGTGGGTTCTCGTCTAGAGTCTAGCTTTGGGGTGTAAGTCAGGTAATAGGAATCTTATGTACATTTTAATTTTATTTAGAGTTCGAATTAGGCCATTACCTCACAGAAGAGAAACTCCCCTAATCCTCATAGAAAGCTGTCATCACTTCAATGCATGCAATTGATTTTAATTTTAATTTATTTTTAAAATTTGAAAGGAGGAGAGATCTTCCGTCTGCAAATTCACTCCCTAAACACCTGCAGAAACCAAGGAGCCCAGAATTCAGTCCAAGTCCCCCACGTGGGTGGCAGGGACCCAAGTACTAGAGCCATCATCATCTGCCTCTCAGGTTGTACATTAGCAGGAAGCAGAAATCAGAAGTGGAGCTGAGACTTGAACTCAGTCTCTCCAGCACAGGATGTTTCCATATTAACTGCTGCACCAAATGCTTGCCCTACGGTTGCTTTCAGAAACCATCAAATTATCCCAAAGGCCAAAAAGGGATTCTAATTCATCCAGGTATTTTTTTTAAGCAGATCCTACACTTCACTGCTGCTTACAGACAACCTGTCTTGAACCATTCGACACAAAATAAATCATCTTATTTATTTTGGGACTAATAGGTGAAATCAAAGGTTCTGTAGACAATCTACATGAGACGCATCCTGCCCACCATTCACTTAAGAGTTGTCTGCGGTGTTAATTATGTTCTCTGTGCCTCGCCTTCCTCATTTGTAAAATGGGAATAATAACAGGAAGTCCATCATAAGGCTGCTGTTAAATTTAATAAGGTAGGCTATGTAAAATTTTTAGGCCCAAAATAAGTACTCAATTTAGGTTGGTTACTCTTATTTAACATATGTTTAGAAAGCACCTTTCACACACATTTATAAGGACACAAAATTGCCCCCCTCCCCGGAGTTATTCTAGCAAGACGAAGAAGACATGCATTCATAGAACTACTGCAGCAAGTGGATCATGATTGGAGTCACGTAAGATAAACAAGGTGCGATGGAGAGGAGAGAAGATTTTATCCGTTAAGGGAGCCACAAAGGATTCTGAGAAGGTTTCACATTTAGGAGTCACGGAAGGTGAAGAGGATCAGGACAATTGACTTTGGCCATCAGGAATGAAATACTCCATCCAGGAGCATCACACAGCGGAGGGCTCCCATGGATGAATGGAAAGGACACTAGGCAGGGCCACAGAAGACCCGGCTGCTCAGGCTACACTTTGAGCCCTTTGCCTTTAGACGTGCATGCAGAGATCACAACTATGGTTTAAGGATTCTTCATAGGAGAGGTGAATTGAGAATACATCTAACTTTCCTGCTCTGTGGAGAAAGACAAACGACCAAACAATTATTGCAATAATTACAATTATTACTCTGAGTGTCAAGAGGAGCTTCCATGCGCCATCCACAGGAAACGGGATAAGAAAGGATGACCAATACATAAGAATAACTGAGAAATCTTTCCCCACTCACACCGGAATGCCCCAACTGAAATCCTTTTTATGCCTCTACCTTACTGGTTCACTACCCAAACACCAAGTTATCATTGTTTTGTTCTTGAGAATGGTCCTTGACTTGTCTCAGCTAATTCATAGTGATCAGATTCTCACCACAAGCCGTCGTTGCACTGAGAGAACAGTTAGGTTAAGAGAAGTGAACAGTTAGAGATGGACACTGAGAAGGCAGAAAATGGGCAAAGATAAGATACAAAAAATAAAACTAAAAAAGCCAGGTTGGAATTTTTAGTGGGTTTTAAGCTTTGTGGAGCCAGACACTAAAGAGGAACCAGTGAAAGCTAGAAAGAACACTCTTCCTTTTCAATACAAATAACATGAAGATAATTAAAATATCTGCTGTAAAAATATCAGTCTGGCAGCTTTTAAACTGCTATATATGCAAACAATTCATATTAGAACAAATATGGCTGAAGTGTTACTTACATGATCTGTTGTTAGTGCAGCACATGGGTGAAAATGTTCAAAGTAGATGTCATCCCCGTTTACTGAGCATATGTACTTCTCTAAATCATTGTATCTCTCTCCATAGAGCACTAGAAATCAAGAGCACCAAGTTCCAAATCAATGGAAATGCAATGACTAGTTTAAAGTAAAAGATAAAATGCATTATGAATATATCAAACATACCAAGTCTAACTTTATACGACTGTCTTATTCGAAAGTAATATTTGGGGAAATTGGTACGACTGGCATGATTCTTTTTAGAAGCAATTTTTTTTTCTATTAAAGCATCTTCTTGTCTCCAGTACTGTTTCACTGACTGCAGCCACCTTAAAAAATGAATGAACATATTATTTAGGCAGAACATGGAACTATTCCTATGAAGCTGAATAGTGTAAGTAAAAAACACTTCAGGTACCTCAAAATTTGGACTTATGGGAATAGGCTCTGGAGCCAGACCACACAAGAATGGATTCCAGCCTCCTTCCTAATTGTTGTGGCTCTTGGCTGAGTCACTCGATCTTTCTGTGCCTTATTTCCACATTTTAAAATGGGATACAGTAGTATCTGAAGTACTACTACAGTAAATCACAAGAGTTCTGGGCATTTAAAATAAGTTATCATAAGCAAAGCCCCTGGGACAGTACCTGGCACATTCCAGGTATGATAGGAGTCTTTGCTAGAATAGTTATTAGTAGGCAGAAATCAAGCCAAATTACAAAATGATGTGGGGTCTTGAATCTTTCAAAGCATCTCCACGAAGCAGGGCCATGGCTCTTAGGGCCCATGGCTGAGTGTGTCCGTGTATTGTTTAATTTTTATTTCTTGGTGAAGGACAAAAGGAAAGGAACACAAATCTATCATTCTGATGAAATATTCTGAGATCGGTGGATTATTTCCCATTCAGTTGCAGGTCTGAGCATGGGAGTCCTTCATTTTCCATTACAGAATGGGGCTTTGCTCAACACCTGCCAGCAGGTGCAAGAGAGAACCAGAAATGAATCATTCAATTCCCCAGAAAGTTATGAGACCCTTCCGAATCCACACAGACAGCATGAAACACACTCAACAGAGATAAACATTTTGTCCAAACTGAAATCAAGTTCATACGCAGTGAGATGTTCAGGGTTACTTATGGTAGCAGAAAGGGCCAGAAAAGGACATCTGATCATGACAAGGAGATGCTCCCAGATTTCTGCTCCAATTTCTCCACCAAGACAATGGACCTATTCAAGAAAAAAATTCCTCCATTCAAAAGATGATTTAAAGAAAGCAAATGAACATAAGACTTGAAATCATCATGCATACTTTCCCATTACCTTTAATTGACCATGCCAAGTTAAAATAAATTATGGAAAACTCATGTGACAGAAAATTTTGACAATTTTGACACCTGAATTTCCTTCAAATACCAATAATTCCTCTTTAATTTCAAAAACGCCTTTCAAACATGTGTACTTCTCTCCACACCTACTGCTAACTAAGCCACCACCACAACTCAGGTGCATGAACACGATATCCTCCTGACTACCACGGTAGCCTCTTCTCATGCCTCCTACGTTTTTCACATCACAGCCCAAACGCTATGTTTAAAAGAGGAGTGAGATCAAGTCACATCCCTAATTAAATTTCTTCAGTATATCCCCACTGCATGTGGAATAAAACCAACTCCTTAACAGGGTGTATAATGCATGGCATGATTCAGCCCCTGCCACTCTCTCTAGCTCCATCTCAAGCCATCAAGACCACGCAGCCTTGTCTTTGTTCCTTGGACATACTCTTGCTACCCCATAACTTTCACAGTATTGGTCCCACTGCTTAGAATACACTTCCTCTTTTTCATCCAACCATAGAGTTCAGCTTAATGTCACTCTAGAGAAGAGATTTTTCTGGGCACCCATTTCAGAGTTGTCCTCCTACTACCATGATTAAAGAAATGACAACTTCCTCTTTCTTTTCATAGTATGTAGCTTGACATTGTCATTTATGTGTTTATTTGTTTAATTCCTCCTTTCTTGATTGAATTGTAACCTTAGTCCTGGGTATTGCTAGCACTGCCAGAAAGCCTGGCACTGAGCAGGCACTCCTTAAATATCTGCTGAATGAATGAATGCATATCTTTTAATCAAATTGAGGTAGATTCAGAGATGACTCTCAGAGGACACTAAGTTAAATGATGACAATTGGCGGTCAATCAAAGAGGACTTTCAGAACTAGATAAATTATATATGTATATATATATACACACACACACATGTATATACATATATGTATATATGTGTATATATATGTGTATGTGTGTGTATATTTGCCCATTTGGCTTTGTTCTGTAAGGTAACAAATCACACTGCCAAATTTTAACCTCATATCTTGTACTGGACAGCACTTTCCCCTGACCCTGCCGGAACAGACTTTAGCCTTCAAAGCCTTTACTTTTATGTGAAATTAGGATGAGTTACCCAATGCTGTATCACTTCAGAGTTTTGAGATTAGACCACAACTCAAGGTTCTGGATTGCAAAACAAAGTTGATGAATTTTTATAAAGAGCAATATCCAAAAATCCTTGTCATGCAATATACACACATTAACCAAAATTAAACATAATCTATTAGTATCAAATAAATCAAAAGCCCAGCCTGTTTGGTTGCTCCATGTTCTACCAGTAAAAGATAAGTTAACCATTACCTAAGTTATCTTTCCCTCTTTAAACTGGAAATTCCCCAGAGCAAATGAATATTTTTGTAATGTTTCAGGGCTTCTTTGAATAACTATTCTTAATAATGTTGCTTTATCACTTTGTTACATATCTTCCATTTGCTCCTATAAATTTGTATCATTTCATCCTGTTCTCTGGCTGATATTCTGATGTACAGAAGTTACCTCAGAAAGGTTCCCAGGCACTGCTGGATTGGCCAATGGAGAGCCTCGTCAAGGGATCAGAAGACAGGAGAAGGAGGTTGAGGCCAGCGCGGCATTGGCTCCCTTCCTGCAAGGTTCCCTTTAGCCAGCTACGCCCCTCTAGTAAGGTAACCACTCCTCACAACGTAGCTAACTCCTAAGAAAATGCTTCCTCACTTTGTCCTTTTAAATTTAGAGGAAAACTACTAGCTCTGGATTTCTTCACAGACATCTTTGAAAAATACCCTGCTTTACTTGTTGCAATTTGAATGTGCCATTGCTTTCTGTTGGGGCTATGGCTGATAAAATAACCTATATAGTTGAATCACTTGGTAAAGCCCCAAATGTTTTGCATTGGAGATCAAAGATTGGATTTTGAAATCTCTGTCCAGGGTAAGTTATGCTGTGCTGGTTGAATTCTACTCCCCCTGAAACAGTGATCTCTACTGAAAGGTTCCTCTCCCATACAGTGCTCCGTAGAGTGTGCCGATTGAGTCCCAACATAAAGGCTGATGGCAACGTCCAGAAGAAACTGTTGAGAAGGAAGTGCCTCCCACACGTGAACTCCACCCAAGGGAACAGATGTCTCAACCATCTCCTTCACAGTGCTTGTGTACGCTAGGAAATTAATGCAGAGAAATAATAAACCTACCTCATCAAATATAACATATCTGATCTTTTTCACCCATTGTTGACGATGAGGAGCCAGCAGCAGAATTTCAAAGCAGGCAGGCACTGTAATAAGTACCTAAAAATAAAATAGTTATATGAACTAACATTTTGAGCACTTCACTGTGTGCAGTCATTGTTTTAAGAAAGTACAAGTTAGGCTTATGAGTCCCAAGTGTATCTGCTGATAACTAGGATATCATAGTGCTTCTAAGAATTGTTTGACTAGAGTTGTTAGGTACGAGTTTGAACAAAATGAAACTCCATTGTTTTTGTAGGTCAAAATGATAAATTATCAGATCTGAAGTCTACAGTATTACTTACAAACATTCAAAGTTTAATAATAGAAATTGTTCATTGTCACAGGTTTGATTCTATAAAATCTGACCCTGACACAGAAGATGTTTATTAAGAATTGAAAACCGGGTGTTGGGGGAGAGAATTAGGAAGAGGGAGAAGCCGAACTACAAAGCAGGCCTGATAGAACCTTAGCAAACCTAGCTCAGAATTCTTGAGCGAACACTGTCCTTCAGAGCTGTTCCACATTAAGCGACAATGGCCAACTGTTTATACCCTTCCTTAGCTCAGGTACTAAGGACTGTGGTGGTAGTACAGGGAGTGCAGACAGAATCTTGCCCACACCTTCTGCATCTGAGCGGCAAGTCCCTTTTTTAAAGGTGACCTAAGAGAGCGCATCTCCGTATCTGCCACATAGTGTTCTAAATCATGGTTCACTCTTGATTTAGCGTTGAATATCTAGGAATTCAATAAAGGGGAAAACTTTCCATGATGTAATCAATACCAAATATCGTATCTGAATTTGTGTATTCTAAACAGATATTTATCAAGAGATAATATTTCTGATTAGAAATTGGTGTTCCTTAAGTTTTTATAATTTATAGGATTGTTCAGATCATTTTTAATTTATTCATAAACCAAGATGTACTATGAACTATATTTGAAATTTAAAAAAAATTGAAGTATCCATATTTAGTGATGAGTTCTATTTATCTATAGCAAAATTACTTTTTCTCTAAAGCTCTTGTCTGTCATCAATTCAAGGAAGTTATTTTCTCAAGGCCTCAGGAAGAGAAATGCAGGTACTGTTACATAATTCAATAATAAGTTGGTTAATTCAAAATCCTACCTGACAGTTCAGGGCATCGTGACGATAATCCCTTGTAAAAACACCACACAGAGCCTCCCCATTTGGCAGCATTTTGGCATAACGATTCTGAACAGTTGCTGCTACTTGATTAACAAGGGCCTGGTTGACAAGAAAGGGATCCATTAATCACATAACCGTGTCCACAGGTGACTACAAGAACTGCCTACGAATAAGTTCTACTAAGAGCATAGAAAGTTTAACAACCTCCTCCCTCTACCCCTCCACACTCTAAGTACCCCACGGTGCTCTGAGATACTACACTAAGCAGACAAACCTCATCAGTACACCTCAACATTAACTAAAATGGGGGGGGGGTGTTTCTATCAGAAGGAGGAAAAAAAAAAAAAAAAACAGTGGGGCTAGTGTTGTGGTGTAGCAGGTAAAGCTCCTGCCTGTGACACCATCATCCCATACGGGTCCTGGTAGGAGTCTTAGCTGCTCCGCTTCTGAACCAGCTCCCTGCTAATGCACTTGGGAAAGCAGCAGAAAATGGCCCAATTCTTGTGCTTCTGCCACCCACATGGGATACCCAGAAGAAGCTCCTGGCTCCTGGCTTTGGCCTGGCCCAGTCCTGACTGTTGTAGCCATTTGGGATGTGAACTAGAGGATGGAAACTCTCTCTTGCTCCTGTTCTCTCCTAGTCTTTCTTTCTTTCCTCATCTCCCCACCCCACACGCTCTCTGTAACTCTTCCTTTCAAATACATAAATATATCTTTGGAAAAAAGAAAAAACAAACAAACACTGCTTGGGATACTGGCATCCTGGGCCAGAGTGCCTGGGTTTGAGTTCCAGATCCATTTCCAGTTCTAGCTAACTGCCAAGCATACCATGGGAGGCAGCAGGTGATGGTTGTGCTTGGGTACTGGGATCCCTGCCACCCACACAGGAGATCAGGATTAAGTTCCAAGTTCCCTCTGGCTTTGGCCTGGCTCAGCCCTGTTGCAGGCATTTAGGGAGTGAACCAGCGGATGAAAGAGAGAGAGAGAGAGAGAGAGAGAGAGAGAGGTCCTCCATCTGATGGTTCATTCCCCAACTGGCCACAGTGGCCAGAGCTGTGCCAATCCGAAGCCAGGAGTCAGGAGCTTCTTCTGGGTCTCTTATATGGGTGCAGGAGCCCAAGGCCATCTTCCACTGCTTTCCCAGGCCATAGCAGAGAGCTGGATTGGGAGTGGAGCAGCTGGATCTTGAACCAGTGCCCCATATGGGAAGCCAGTGAATCAGGTCAGGGCATCAACCCACTGTGCCACAGCGCCAGCCCCATAAATTTTTTTTTTTTAAAGAAAAGTCAAGCAAGGGATAACCATGGTTGAATTTTGTCTCCTATATTTGATGACTCCCTCCAGATACCTGAGGTGACATGTTCTAGGTAAACCACGTTCTAGGTACAACCACGTTCTAAGTAAAGAAGGTAGCTTGCCCAGGGGAATCCACATGCGTGGAAACTTATCAACCTCTATTTCACACCTTATGAAAAAAAATCCAAGTTGATTAAAATGTAAATTTTAAGACAAATTCATAAAGCTAGTATTAACGTGTACTTTCATAGATTAGAGTAAAAGCATTCAAGAAAACTCCAAATGAAAATATCGATAATTGAATATACAAACATATTAATATTGCTATCATTGAAACTATCATAATGCAACAAAATGACCTAATAACTGAAACTATATTCTTTATATGGCAGAGAAAATTTTTTAAAAATTTACTTATTTGGGGATGGCACTGATTAAGCTGCTGCATCCCATACCTGAGTAGTAATTCAAGTCTGAGCTGCTCTGCTTCTGGTCCGGCCCCGTGCTAATGTGCCTGGGAAGGCAGCAGAGGGTAGTCCAAGTGCATCGGCCCTGCCACCCATGTGGGAGACCCAGGTAGAGTTCCTGGTTCCTGGCTTCGTCTTGGATCAGCCCTGGCCATTGTGGCCATTTGGGAAGTGAACTGGCAGGTGGAAGATATCTGTCTCTCCTCCTTTCTCTGTCACTCTGCCTTTAAAATAACTAAAAATAAATCTGAAAAAAAAATTGTTTGAAAGACAGAAACAGAGATCTCCTATTTACTCCCCAAAGGTGTGCAATGGCCCACTGCCAGGGCCAAAGCTAGGAGCCAGAAACTCAATCTAAGCAAATCTCTTGAGCCATTACTGCTGCCTCCCAGGGTCCACATTAGCAGGAAGCTGGAATCCGGAGTGCAGCCAGCTGTAGAACCCAGGTACACTGATATGAGCATCCTAGCCAGCAACTTAATGACTAGGCCAAACGCCTGCCCCAGAGAAAGAGTTAATAACCTTATTATGCAAGTTTTAAAAAATCAATGAAGACAACCCTCTCCAAAAGAAGTAGGCAAAGGCAACCTACAAATAGTCCATGAACAAAGAAATGACAAAAATCATTCTTCAAAGCGCCCAAATCACTCGGAGTAACAGAAATACGAATTTCAATATAGTATGTCATGTTAGAAAAGGTGAAGGACGTCCATGCCATATACTAGCAGTGGGAGAAGAATAGAGCTCACGTTCTGGAAGAGTAATTTGGTCCTATGGATTGTGTTTGAGTTACAGTAGGAAGGCTCACTATGCCGCCCTTTCCCATGAAGCTAGAGTATTCTATGCCCTGGGAGTGGCCTCTGGGCTAGGCCTCCCCGCCCCACCAAGTAACCACCTTAACAGAATCAGGTAGGGGGTCCAATGCCAGCCTAATACAGCTGAGGCTCCTAGAACACTGGGCACAGGCCCGGCCGTCTCCGCTACTGTCCTTGTTCACTCCTGTGCTGTTTAACTGTGTACTCCAGCCAGGCAGGACAGGTACTGACGGGCTCGCTGGCCGCCATCAGTAACTCCCTTGAGAAAAGGCAAATGTCTCTCCCAATTGGAGTTCTGGGAGGTTACCTTTCTAATTAGTGAACACTGGACGTGAGCACTCTCGGGAGCCTGGGCTCTGCTGGTGCAACAATTGATATAGTCAGTAGTTCGCTTATTGACTCCACTTCTAATATTTTAATTTTTCCTTGATTGTCAAAACACCTATTGATTTTTGTAATCACAAAAAAATTTAATTTCAACTAATTGTATTTTTTAACTTGGTCCTGACCAGTATGACACATTTTCCTAGATACTAAAATGTAGTCTGAATTCATTTTAGTCTGTAAAGTTAGAATCACCCCAGCTAAATGTGGCTTTTTTAAGAGTGACCACAGGAGGCCGGTGCCGTGGCTTAACAGGCTAATCCTCCGCCTAGTGGCGCTGGCACACTGGGTTCTAGTCCTGGTTGCCCCTCTTCCAGGCCAGCTCTCTGCTGTGGCCCGGTAGTGCAGTGGAGGATGGCCCAAGTGCTTGGGCCCTGCACCCCATGGGAGACCAGGATAAGCGCCTGGCTCCTGCCTTTGGATCAGCGCGGTGCGCTGGCTGCATTGGAGGGTGAACCAACGGCAAAGGAAGACCTTTCTCTCTGCTGTCTCTTTCTCTCTCTCTCTCACTGTCCACTCTGCCTGTCAAAAACAACAACAACAACAACTTAAGAGTGACCACAGGGGCTGGTGCTGGTGCTGTGGCAAAGTAAGTAAAGCTGCCGCCTACAGTGTCGGCTTCCCATTCGGGCACCAGTTCATGTCCCAGCTGCTCAACTTCCAATCCAGCTCTCTGCTATGGCCTGGGAAAGCAGTAAAGGATGGTCCAAGTCCTGGGGCCTCTGCACCCACATGGGAGACCCGAAAGAAGCTCCTGGCTTTGAGTTGGTGCAGCTTTGGCAGTTGTGGCCATATGGGGAGTAAACCAGAGGTTGGAAGACCTCCCTCTCTCTGCTCTGCCTTCTCTGTAACTCTGTCTTTCAAATAAACAAGTAAATCTTAAAAAAAAAAAAAAAAAAAAAGAGTGACCACATGAAATACCAAAGACTTGTGAATGAGGGCAGGCAAACATGTTCTCCATACATCAAACTTTCTTCTATACGACAAAATTATTCTGCTTTTAAGTCCCAAATTCAACAGTACTACACGTGAAAGAAATGCAGTAACAATCTGGATTGAGAGGCAGACCCATCATCAATGCCCAGGGAAGACTGGATCCATTCCATAGACTTTGCAGAGGCGACATGAGGTCCTGAGGTGATTCAACATTGCCCAGGCTGCTTCCCCATCAACCCAAGCATAACTTTTACCTACAAGATACCAAGATCTGGTTTATTTATAAAAGTGATTTTAAAGCAAGTGTTATTTTAGTCTTTGAACCTAGAATGAGAAAATTAAAGCTGACATAGTGAACCAGATCTCTCACACGGGAACGTGTATATTTTCACAGAGAAGGTTCTGGAACACACACGAATATTACGTCCAGTTGGACACTACCTTTGTTGGCGCCACGTACACGACCACCCCTTCATTGCTCTCCTTCAACACTTTCTCCATGCAGTAGTAGGAGGCGTAGGTTTTGCCCGAGGACGTCGGGGCCACGATCACTGCCGACTCATGGTTGTCCACTACATCCAGGAGCTCTCGCTGTGGGGAGCACAGCACCGTTTGTGTCAGTAATGGCAACAATGTTATGACTATTACCAAAACCAATACATGAGTGCACTTCCAGCAGGGTCCTCTGAACCATAAATGGGACGACTGGGAGTTGCAAACACAAGATGTATTGGAGAATCGGAAGAACTCATGCCATTCTCTCAAAAGAGATCATCTTTATGCTTTTGAGAATCTAAAGATGGGGTATACATGAAAAATGGTGAGTCTGACTAAAACATCTCATTAATGGGAAGATTTTCTCTTTTTTTGTAGTTATTTATCATTTACTAAGTGCAGAATGGCCTTGAGAAATCAAGTTCCAGAAAGTAGTCAGGGGGCCAGCACTGTGGCGTAGTGAGCTAAGCTTCCGTCTGGGGTGCTGGCAACCCACATGGGCACTGGTTCATAACCTGACTGCTCTTTTTCTGATCCAGCTCTCTGCTATGGCCTGGGAGAGCTGTAGAAGATGGCCCAAGTGCTTGGGCCTCTGTACCCAACGTGGGAGACCTGGAAGAAACTCCTGACTCCTGGTGTCAGATCGGCTCAGCTCCAGCCACTGCGGCCATTTGGGGAGTGAATCAATGGGTGAAAGACCTTTCTCTCTGTCTCTCTCTCTCAAACAAATAAAGTCATTTTTGTTAAAAAGTAGCCAATATTGATTTTTGATGGTAAAAAAAAAATGCCTGAGGAGAAACATCCAAGATTCTTAACTTGACTAACTCATTTTCTACTTTCTTTCTGTTAAAAAAAAAAAGAAATACTTATTTATTTTTCAAAGAGTTACAGAAAGAGAGAGAGGGAGAGACAGTGAGATCACAAGAGGGAGGGGGAGAATCTTTCATCTGCTAGTTCATTCTCCATATGGTTGCAAAGCCACCATTGGGCCAGGCCAAAGCCAGGAGCCTAGAGCTTTACCCAGGTCTCCCATGTGGGTGGCAGAGGCCCAAGCACTTAGGCCATCTTCTGCTGCTGTCCCAGGCATACTTTCAAGGAGCTGGATTGCAAATGGAGAAGCCGGGACTTGAACCGGCACCCATACAGGGTATCAATTTTCCAAGTGGCAGTTTAACCTGCTGTGCCACAATGTCAGCCCCTCTTCTACTTTCTTTATAGAAGAATTCAAAACAGGCATCTGCTTTGGAAAGCACAAGGGGGCTTCTTCTCAACAAGCTATGCTTTTGTTTCACAATGACTAGCCAAAAAAGAATTATAATCCTATATGAGGGGTGAAGATGGAAAAACATCTCAAAATGCCAATCTGCACACGATTTTCAGTCTACGCCAACTCCCAGCCATCCCTAAATGAAGCAGGCATAAGAGGAATCACAGTTTCTATCTTCCTTCTTGTGAAAAAACAAGGTATACATTTAAGGCACCCCACCACCAACAATATAGGAAAGGTAAAGTCTGCTTCTGAATGGGATGGTCTACTAAGACCAAACTTAGGAAAACTGCATTTTTGTAGGTAAACACGCTCAATGTATTAATAATTTTGTATGGTTCAATGTATGTAAAAATGCATCTTTTCAAAATTTTATACCTATCAGTAGTTATTTTACATATATTTATAGAAAAATAGCTACTCCGTTGATAAATAACACTGCCCAAATTTCTCAGTGCAGCTTTCTGCAGTGACTTAGGGATTTCTACTGACACAAGGCCTCAGAGGCTGCTCCATAATGAATCAGTGGATGGCACAACAGACCTCGTAACTACACGTGTGAATCCATCTAAGTACCCTCAAGGAAATATCCGGTCTATTAAAATTTCACTTAGAAAAGTCTACAGTTGCCATTTCCAATAACAAAATATTTTAAATGACATGACTCAATATTAAGAAAGTCATGTCAAATATAATACGTAGAGCTACTATATCGAGAAACTCCCGAGATGGCAATAAGCAAATACGGGGGTTGGCACTGTGGCGTAATAGGTAAAGCTGCTGCCTGGGCCACCAGTATTCCATGAGCACTAGTTCAACTCCTGGCTGCTCCACTTCCAATCCAGCTCCCTGCTAATAGCCTGGGGAAGTGGTAGAAGATGGCTCAAGTGCTTGGGTCCCTGTATCTACCTGGAGGAAGCTCCTGGCTTCAATCTGGCCCAGCTCTGGCCATTGTGGCCATTTAGGGAGTGAACCAGTGGATGGAGGGTTCCTTGTCTGTCTCTAACTCTACCTTTCAAATACATAAAATAAATCTTTAAGAAAAAAAAGAAAACAATAAATAACTACAAGAATTCTTGTTTCATTCACATCATTACCTGCCATGTGTCAGGAATAAAATCCTGGACCCTGGGGTCCGGGTCCTTTCTCTCCTCCCGGATCAAATAATGCCCCATGTACTGCAGTTGAAACCGTGCTGGTCCAAGGCCAACTGAATACTTAGTCATTTTCATCTTTGTTTCATCTCCTATAGCCTGCATTATTTTAAAATTCATTTGGAAAGACATTTCAAATTATACCATCATTTATATAATAAAAATATTTATTGTTAAGCACAGTCTACATGAAAAGCATTTTACCACCTTTTAAATCTCACGAAAATGTTTACCCCTTAAGTCATCATCTTTCCTAGGGCTAAATCAGCAGACAGCAAGATTTCCAAATACACCTCATAGCATTTAAAGACACTTGAATAGTCGCACTGTAGTCTTGACATGTTTTGCTAGGATCAAGTATAGGTTTAGTTTTAAGTATCTGGATTTTCCAAACAAACATTTGTGCAAATTTTCTAATTCTAGACTCCTTCAAAACTGGACAGTTGGATAAATAATATTTTCAATTAAAAAATCTAGAAGAGATTTGCATGTCAGTCTATGTATACCTAATAACACCTCTACCAAAACAAGCTATTCTGAAAACATTACCTGGGTTGGACATAAAGAACTGGCCAACTCATGAAATCCCAAATAGTGAAGACATCTGGCTATGAGTTGCTGATCTGGTTCTTGCAAAAGTTCTGGATATTTTTCCATCAAGGAGTGGATCCTTTTCATCATTTGAACAGCTATACTTAAGTCTTTTGTGGTTTTTCCTTGGGAAAGAATAAATAATAACTGAAATTAATAAAGACATCATGTAGTCTATTAGTCTTTTTTTTTTTCAAAGATTTATTTTTTTTCAAAGGTGTCAGAAATCTTCCATCTTCTGCTTCACACCCCAAATGCCTGCCACAACTGGGGCTAGGCCAGGCAGAAGCCAGGAGCCAGGAAGTCCATTTGGGTCTCCCATATGGACGGCAGGGACTCAAGTACTTGGGCCATCATTTGCTGACTTCCTAGACATATTAATAGGAAACCAGAAGACAAGTGGAGGAGACAGGACTCACAATAGCATTCTAGTACAGGGTGCAGGTATACCAAGCAGCAGCTTAACCCTCTGCACCACAACACTCACTCGATCTATCACTCTTAATTTCATTTTTTTTGCATTAATGGAGGCTTTGGAATAGAGAGCACTAAATAAAATAAAATTAAAATTCAACTATCCATACTTTATTATCTCCAAGGCTTATTGGGAAGTAGCTGTGTCTGTGTTGGGAAGATAAAAAAATCTTAATTTTCATGATATAGAAACAGGTAAACGATCAAGTTTATAGAAGTTTATGGAAAATAAAAAAATCTATTCTCAAGTTGCTACTTTTTATGCCTCCTCTACCTTGTTAAAAAATGTGTGTATGACTTCAAATATCTGGTTAAAAACCTAGCAAAATTGAGACCTATTTTTGACTATAAAGAAATATTTAGTGTTATCACTGAAATCCATCAATTAAGTCCATCTATTCTAAGTACCAGATCTGGACTTTGCTAATCTCACTCCATTTCTTTATAATCATAAATATCCTTTTTATTCCTCCTCTCTATTAATATTTTCATATTTACCACACCAGGGCTGTTGCAGTTCCACAATCCATCTAAAGCCTATGTTTATTTGGTAAATGTTACCAAACACCTAGCAAATGCTGTAAGAGGGATTGTAACTAATATTTCTTCTCTAGATTGCATAACACTAGATGCATAACACTTGATCGGCCCAAACTGAGCAATAGAGACAACAGGAGTTACATGAGCCTGGAATACCAGAGGAAGGTTTTGTAGAAAGATAATTCATGAAACGATTGAGAATAGATAGAATGAAGGTATCATGGCTAACACTACTACAGCATTGCCTACTCACAAGTATGACCCAAAATTCCTAATTCACCTCCCTGTATTATTGGAAGCATCAACGTATGTAAGTCAAAGCCTACATTTGCCAGCATCCATTGTGATTAGATGTGGCCTTGTGACTAAGTTCTGACTAATGATATGTAATCAGAAGCTTTTAGTGGCTAGAAAAGATCCTTAAAGGAGAGACATAGAGCTGAGATGGTTTTGCCTTTCTACCTTTCTCCTAATATCTGCTAAAAGCAGTCATCTGGGGCTATGAGGTGTCTTGAAGTCATGTGCCAAGGATGATGGAATGCGAAGATGAGGAGCATGGATCACTGATGGCATTTTGGAGCTCCCACAGCAGCCCTGGGAACCTGCATCTAAATGAGTGAAATAAATTTGTGTTCTTTAAGTCACTGTTAACTCTGGTTTCCTTTAGTAGCAGAAAACTGCAAATCCAGATTCAACAGCTTGGTTGAGGAGAGAAACGTAAGGTAAGACTTACACCCTGGTTGGGATACAATATATAGTGAGAGGCTGGCTTTGCACATGGAAGGTAGGAGGATGAAAGTGGCTGCAAGGCAAAGGAAGACCCTGAACGTTGTGTGATGAATGAGCTCAAGTGGGAAGGTGCTCAAGACTGACGGCTGAAGCTGGTTTACTCACATGAGTTGTTTGGAGATAATGAAACGTGGCCATTTCACCTGCTAGCAATGTACAGCACTCTACCCAGCCCATGTTCCCCTATCTTCTTTTTTTCTACTACCTGCTGTAGAAATTATGAAGTAGAACACATGAAATCCACAGCAACTTTGGAGGAACTTAGGATGAGAGGCAAGCACACGTAGAGTTTTACTCTGAAACAACAGGTTTACTCTTTGGATCTCAAAGACGAATGACAAATTCTCTCTGGGAGCCTCAACATCTTTGCTGGCTTCCTTAACTATACCAGTAACTTTGGAAATAGTCATTTTCCAATCTCCGATCATGATCATTACTGCGCTGAGTATTTGCTACTGTGTGAAATTCCATTGCTCACTGATAAAACATTGAGATAATGTTGCCTATATACAATCAAAAAATGTGTGTAAGCCTTCTAACACCAATTTCCAGTTTATAAATGACAACTATCATTATCTTGGTATTAATCCTCGATTCACCAAAGTAGAAAACCAGAACCATATACCTTCACCTCGGCAATGCTCTTTCCATGCTGTGAAGCAGGCAGTCAGCCCTGCGATTTCAACTCGAAATTTCACCGAGTTACTTTTACATGATTTCAAAAAATCTTCGAGGTTCTTTATTCCAGAGATTAGGTTCTCTTTCATTTCCTCTTCAATAGAGAATGACAGAGCATTCCATTTTTGTTCTTCTTTCTGTTCTTCCTTGGCAAATAACCTCTTCTTATTCTCTCTAGTAATTATTTCAGCTTTAGTCTCCTGCCCAACAGCATAGAAACATACAAAGCAACAAGTTGGAAATATTCCGTGATGATATTTCATGAATGAGGCAACATTTTGGGTGTATATTGAGGACTTCAACTATCATTCCATTCTTTGAAGTCATGAAAAAAAGTCTTACAATTAAGCCCGTTTACTAAAAACATATGACAATACAACTTAGTAAGTATACAGGCTTTCTGTAGACAACGTTCTAGGTTTCTGAGTGGTAGAAATTCTAAGTAAAAGATTCAAACTGATACAATCGGACACATCAGCCCACTGATGCAGCCGCACTCACTGCTTTCTGGAATCCCCTTTCTCCTTCCATTTCCCTCCCTAGCCACCTGCTTCCTTCCCTAATGTTTGTTGAGATTTTTCTACCACAAGGCTTTCCTTTCACTCAAGCCTAACTTGTGTATCCCTCCTCTGCCTGCCATACGTCAATCAAAGCACTCAGCAACAAGTACTGTAGTTGTAATTTAATTATCATTCTTCCTCCCTAGATTGCAACCCTTGAGACAGAAACCCACCATAGTTATCTGTCAGCTCAAAACACTTAGTCCATAATGTGTGTGAATGAATGAGGAAAGAGAAAGGAAATAACGGAGTGAATATTTTCCAATTTGACTTAAACATATTACAGATCCACTTTTTACTATGCTTTTACCAATCTGACTTATTAATATACTAAGATAAGTCAGAATTGTTATAACAAAACAAATCTGGCTACTTTTCACTAGTCTAGTTAGTCATGACATTAATATGTAAACGTTTTCCTATGATGAAGTTAACTTTGGCTATCGCCTCTATTTAAATCTGATGAATCACATTAGAGCTTTTTTTTTAAAGATTGATTTTTATTTATTTGAAAGACAGAGTTACATAGAGAGGTAGAGGCAGAGAGAGAGAGAGAGGTCTTCCATTCCTTTGGTTCACTCCCCAGATGACTGCAATGGCCAGAGCTGAGCTGATCGGAAGCCAGGAGCCAGGAGCTTCTTCCCAGTTTCCCACGTGGGTGCACAGGACCAAATACTTGGACCAGCTTCTACTGCTTTCCCAGGCCACAGCAGAGAGCTGGATCAGAAGAGGAGCACCTAGGACTTGAACCCACACCCATATGGGATGCTGGCACTGCAGGCTGGAGCTTTAACCCGCTGCACCACAGTGCTGGCCCCTGCATTAGAGCTTTTGTTGTGCTTAATCATCCAAGTTTTATATGTTGGTTCTATCTAGTACGATTCTGTCTCATTAGGACAAGGGTGACTCTTAGACTTTGGCTATGTATGATGAATATGCAGATTTACTTGAATATTCAGATTTACTAAACCATTTCTAGGAGAGTATATTTATACAGCTGAGGGTGTTTGACTCCCTTGAGATAATTTAATTTCTAATAATGCAAAAGGAGACGAAAAGCATGAATTTTTCAGTCTTGGTACCATTTAAAAGATTTTTTTCATAAATGTTCTATTTTATAACATAACTCCAAAAAGGAGGGAGAGATGTTTGATATATTGGTTAAAATGCTGCTTGGGATGCCAGCATTTCATATCTGAGTGCCTGGGTTCCAGCTTCCTGCTAATGCACACTGCTGGAACCAACAGCTGATGGCTCAACTCCCTGCCACCCACTTGGGAGACCTGGATGGTGATCTGGCCTCCTGGCTACAGCCTGCCCAGGCCCCAGCTGTCCTGGGCATTTAGGGAATGAACCAGCAGCTGGATGCTCTTGCTCTCTCACTCTCTAATAAAATGAAAATATGTCAAAAGAAGTTTTTAACAGTAGAATAAACCTTTTGATACTCTTAAAAAAGTAAACATTTAATTGAGTGTTGTCATTGACAATAAAACTGGCCATAAATACAAAGAGGAGGTAGTCACCATGAGGAGGAAAACCAGGAACCAGAGCTGGTGTGGGAAGGCTTCTTTATGACTAAAGTAAAACATGGTGGTTGGCGCTGTGGCGAAGTGGGTAAAGCCACCGCCTGCAATGCCGGCATCCCATATGGGTGCCAGTTCGAATCCCAGCTGTTCCACTTCTGATCCAGCTCTCTGCTATGGCCTGAGAAAGCAGGAGAAGATGGCCCAAGTCCTTGGGCCCCTGCACCCATGCAGGAGACTGCAAGAAGCTCCTGGCTCCGCATCAGCACAGCTCCAGCTGTTGCGGCCACTTGGAAAGTGAACCAGCTGATGGAAGACCTCTTTCTCTCTCTCTGTCTCTGCCTCTGTAACTCCACCTTCCAAATAAATAAATCCTAAAAAAAGTAAAATATAAAATACTTCCCATTTCTGCTTGGGATTTTGAAGGAGTTCAAGGACAAAGCCTTCACAGAAGGACTGAGGACCTTTTAGAATTACCTGCTATGTTTAATGTTATCTTGAGTAGAATATCCAAGAGGCTTTTCTTGGTAAGTTCCTGAACCTATGGACGATGCCTATCCCTCAGAATTCTAAAGCCTCACTCCCTGCCTGTTAGAGGCACGGCAGAAGCAGCCCACTGATCTTGATAAAATTTTCCAAAAATAAGTATTCAGAAGTTAGAGTTGAAATGTGTTTTTTCTTTTTAGGGTCTTTGTTTTACATATATTAATTCCACCATGCTTACTTCATGGTGAAGTAAATGCCTGTTTTGTTTCTCTCCTTGTTGTTTCTTGAACCGCAAGGAGACAGAGAGGGAGTTAGAAAGAACCCATCTTCTGGTTCATTGCCCAAATGCCTGCAATGCCCGGGACCAGAGCCAGGAGCCTGGAGCCTGGAACCCAAGGCAGATCTTTCACATGAATGGCAACAGCCCGACCACTTCAGTCATCACTGCTGCCTCCCACGGTCCACATGCAAAGGAGAAGAATTCAGAGCCAGAGCTTGGAATCAAACCCAGGCATTCCGATGTGAGATGTGGATGTCCCGAACGCCTATCTCATGACTTTTTTCTTCAGTTTCTGTACTTAGACGTTAATATAGCTGATAGGTCACCCGTATAGAAGGAAGAAAGTGATTAGTTAATTATTCAACCACTTCAGAAAAGGTTAGCTCTATGGATCTTCATAATTAAATCAAAAGTAAGTATTTCTATTTTTACTACCTTTATGAAAAAGATTTTCATTGTCATTAACTAATAAACAACCATCTTTTGAGTGTTACTTCACCATTTCTAAGTCTAGTCACTTAATGCTTTATATTCTTTTTCAAATATAGATGTACATTATTATGTAGATCTGAGAGTTTTTTATATGAAGATTAGACTTTCTTAGTAAGAAAAGTAATAAGTAATTATATATAAAAAGAACAGGCAACATATGGAAAGAAGCTACCAAAGGGATGAATAGATATCAAGTTAAGAAAAACAAAAGTAAAAATACTTTATACAGTTTCTAGAACCTACATGTACCTTTTTGTTCTTGGGTTCACCAAAATTCTTCTTTGGCTTAGTAGCTTCAGTTACGATGAGTTTTGAAGAGACAGATTCTAATGAATTTCCATAAAACCGTTGAAAAACATGATATTTTTGCACAGATCTTAGTACACGTGGGTCTCTAGAGTTTTCTGAAAAACAAACAAAAGACTTAAAAAGTAACATTATTATATTTTCCATGGAGAGGCAATGTCACTAACTCTTCACACCAGACCACCCACACATGCACTTTTCCTTCTAGTTTATAACAGTAATTTAATTTGATAACCTTTCAGGAGGGTATCTTAAATCAGACAGCCTCTTGTCTGTTGAGTAATTCCTTATCTTATATGGCCAGTGCTGTGGCACAGTGGGCTAAGCCTCCACCTGCAGCAGCAGCATCCCACATGGGCACCAGTTCGTGTCCCAGCTGCTCCTCTTCTGATCCAGCTCTCTGCTGTGGCCTGGGCAAGCAGTACAAGATGGCCCAACTCCTTGGGCCCCTGCACCACGTGGGAGACCTGGAAGAAGCTCCTGGCTCCTGGCTTCAGATCAGCCCAGCTCTGGCTGTTGCAGCCATCTGGAGAGTGAACCACCAGATGGAAGACCTCTCTGTCTCTCCCTCTTTCTGTAACTCTACCTCTCAAACAAAATCTTTAAAAATACTAATCATAATTCCTTATCTTAAAGGAAGAAGGTGACAAAATATTCATGGTCTACCTCCAAAAGCAATCAGAGTGTTAGAAATATTCTAGGCCTTACCTCTGGCATGTGCACTGAGAATGAGGTTAGGAGGAACAGAGAGGCTGAATCAAGAAGTCAGCTGTCAAAGATACTCTGACTTCTTTGATCACAGCATAGACGAATACTGTGCACTGGGCCTTCATCAATGAACTGAGCTTGGAAGCTGATGGAAGCACTTGCTACAGCAAAACCCAGTAACAGAGGAAATCCCATCAATCAAGGTCTGATTTACTCCCACCCTCCCCCAAAACCGTAAAACTCACTTAAATTGAATAACTAAATGACTTTTTTTCTATGTCTGTGTCTACCTCATCAAACCAAGCCACTTTGAGGATATCGACAGTTAATCTACAGTGTCCCCTTGCAGACTCTTCGTACCTGTTTACAGAAGCAGATTGGTAAGTATTTTACAAAAACATGCTTACTACACACGCTTCTAGATTGGTAGAGTACGTTTTGTTCACTCTAAGGAGGGTGGTATAAGCACAGGGCTAGACCAAAGTGAGAAGAAGCCAAGGAACGGACCAGGGAGGCAAGTTCCCTGTTTCTATCTCTGTTGATCTACACGTAGTGATTCATGGCCTCCCTCTTGTAGCTGCAGCAGCACTGAAGACGAAGGCACGTGCACAGCTGGTACTTTTTACATGCAGTCCACTCAGTGGTGTGAGAATAGTTAGATCTTCTTGAAAGACAATGATTGCAATATATCTGATTATAAACAAAACACAGGTTTCTTAAACCCCAAGCCATCTTTCCCTAAAATAGCTTCTAGCCTCTGTGGAAACAAAGGCTGTATTTGTCCACTCCCTACTAAGACATCCACATCCACAGGACCCTCAGCTAAGAAGCGGGCACTTTTCATGGCTACCTTCCCTGATGGACATCTACTCTTATTTAAAAATTTCATTGAACGTAGTGATCACTTTTTCACTATAAAATAAGTGGAACCGCTTCCAATCTGTTCCACCGGAGTCACAGAGCTCACCGTCAAACTGGCCCTTTGTCCTGTCATATTCATCGCTGAGGGGCTTGTGAGAGTGCCAGTGCACCAGTTCATCAAATTCCTTTTGTTTAACCAGTGAAGTAACGACAGGATCATCGCTGTGAACAGAAAGAAACAGACGCATATTTGGAATGGCATGCCTCCTAACGTAGCCCAGCACAGATTCCACTTTTTTTTTTTTTTTTTTTTTACAGGCAGAGTGGACAGTGAGAGAGAGAGAGACAGAGAAAGGTCTTCCTTTGCTGTTGGTTCACCCTCCAATGGCTGCCGCGGCCGGCGTGCTGCGGCCGGCGCACCACGCTGATCCGATGGCAGGAGCCAGGAGCCAGGTCTTCTCCTGGTCTCCCGTGGGGTGCAGGGCCCAAGCACTTGGGCCATCCTCCACTGCACTCCCTGGCCACAGCAGAGAGCTGGCCTGGAAGAGGGGCAACCGGGACAGAATCCGGCGCCCCAACCGGGACTAGAACCCAGTGTGCCGGCGCCACAAGGCGGAGGATTAGCCTAGAGAGCCGCGGTGCCGGCCAGATTCCACTTTATAATAGTATTTCTGAAAGCCACAGCTCCCTTCTCTCTTTCTTTGCTGTGAGGCGGATGGCGGATTAGAGGCTTATGAAACCGGAAACCACTTTGTGTCTCTTATAGTCCCACCAATGGCACCAAAGAGCCTTTCATTCATTCACTCGACACTTGCAAGTGCAGCAGCTTCCTCTGAGAGGAGAGCCACAGATACTTACCTTGGAATGATCAAAGGGCAAGTGAAAATTTTGGTATTAAATCCACCATGTGTTACAAGTGCATACAGCATGTAATCTGCAGCATTTGAAAGAACCTTTAATAAGTGTCCCAGCCACGCCACGCCAGCATTAACTGAGGCACACTTGGGGTCCTGTACCTTTTCAGGAAAGGCAAATCTTTCAAAATGTCCCCAGCGAACTTATCAACCACATCAGATGACATCGGAATAAAACCCAAATTAGTCATCTTTTCCTCAGAGCCATCTGTAAAAAACGTTAAGGTGAAATGTGAAACTTTCATCCGGGAATGCTGTATTTCGTAAAACTTTGCATTAAAAACATTTTACACCTATTTTATAATTTATCAATTTATCAATTCCAGCCATTCCCTAAAGCTATTTTCCACATTAAAACAATTTTGGAACAAAGCAGAGCATAAAGAGACAGTATTTAGGCACAGAAGATGGTATGTAGGTATATGGATGGATGGATGGACAAATAGACGGTTGACAGACAGTTACATATGCTTGTTATTTTCAAACGTTTATTCCTTTTATTATCCTTTTTTACTAGACAAGGAATTTGGAAATGGAAGTCACACACATTTTAAAAATTCATTTTTTTCATATACATGTATATAGTGAAAATGAAATTGAGAAGTAGGGAACTACAGATAATTATGAAATTATTTTATCTTATTACAATATTCTCTTGGGTCCTCCTTGATTTTATGCACAGATGACTGATACATATCATATATACCAAATATATTTGAGAATGGCCTAATGAACGACTTTCTATTTCATGTCTGGATCATAGTTCTAGAGACTGCCACTGCTCCACCTGCTACCCTCTTGGTATTCACCCCTGTGCGTTTGCCCTGACACTTTGCCAGAGTGCTTTTCTTCACAGAGCTCACATGGAGCAGGCTGGAAACGCCAACGACAAAACACCCTCAGAATCATGGAGGAAAGAGACTGCAGTTCTCTAGCTCTTCAGGTAAAACACCCCCAGTGTAGTTTATATGCCAGTTCAAGATTCCCAGCGATCTTTCCTTGTAGTTTCCCACAGTGGAAACCTACACATAAACGTGTCTTGCACCAGTGTTCCCTCCTTGCTCATCTTATCCCATTCAACTTTCTGGGATCAATAAACTGCTTGCATTCAAGGGTCTTTGCTGGAACTCATCCTAACAGAAGGAAAGAGAAGGTAAACTCTTCCTAGGAGCTCTGAAAAATTCCTTATACCAACACACTCTAAGTTCCCACTAGCTTTCCTTTGCATATTCATTCTGGCATTTTTTTCTGAAAGTCATCATGCAGAAATACCTTCAGTGATGCTATAATGATAGAAAAATAACTACTGTTCTTAAAATATAACTATTATTCATTCTTAAATCACATTTCAGGAATTATATTCAACTCCATTCTATTCACACGTCTGTCACTGTTAGTGGGAAGTCTATTAGACTGGCTTTTGTTTGTTGGTGGGAACTCTGGATCTTCTAAGATACTTCCTTGTTTTTGGCAGTATATAATTTCACAATGTTCTGTCTGGTTTATGTATTTGTAAATGTGTATACAAGCATGTGTTTAATTTATCCCATAATACATTTCTAATACACAAATTCTTGTCTTTCTTCAATCCAGACAAATGCCAGTCATTGTCTCTTGAAAACTGGCCAACACACATTGGTTAATTCTCTCCTTCTAATGAATGAAAGGCTAGATTTCTTTCTATCTTGCATGTCTTTTACATCTTTTTTGTTCTATTAAATTTTTAAAGTTGTACATATTCAAGTGTTTATAGTGTACATGTTTTGATGTGCTTGTCTTGATATTCATATCCATGGTGAAGTGATTCTATAGTAACCATCTCATACTGTTTCCACCTCTCTTTTTTCCCTCCTTTATTTCCTTCCCTCTTTCCTTCTTGTGTGTGGTACAAGTTCCTAAACTCTACTTTCCTACCAGATTACTACCATACAATACAATAGCGTTAACTGTAGTCCTCACAGCGTACATTAGATACCTAAGCTATCTGCATATCCTATAGGACTGCAACACTGTGCCCACTGACATCTCCCCTCCCTGCCTCTCGCCTCCAGACCTCACCGCCACCCACGTAATGACTGTTTCACTCTTTGTCCTGTTCCCATGTCTTAATTTTCTAAGGATTCTGCATATAAATGACACCATGTAGTCCTTTTCTTTCTGTGTCTGGCTGTGTCACCTGTGTCTCTAACTGTATTTCCATCTATGGCTAGTTCAAAAATTCTCCCTTGAGCAATATCCAGTCAGCTTTGTAACCCATTTGTGAACAATCCGATTATTTGAAAGTGGCACTATTTTATAGGCTTATTATGCATGGATCAAATTCCTTATTTAATTTCCTTGATCATTTTAAAACAGTTCTTTCTATTTTGGATAATTAAAAACTCTGAAATACTTAAAGAATTCTCGTTCTTAGTGACTTATTTCCACAATTATTTTATAAATTTGTGTTTATACTCATATTTGCCAAGGAATCCCAGAAAACCAAGGTTTATAATGTTTTCCCCCTAAGAATTTGTCAGATTCTTTTAATCATTTTAAATGAATTATTTGGCTTAGCATTATCTTGACCATACTAATAGTCTAAATTTAAATCCCAAATTCTCAAAGAAATCCTTTTGTTAGAGGTCCAGCCAGATTAGTTTGTGGCCATTCTTTTATGAAGAACAGAAATCCCAGCTTCTGGGGGAGCTGGGTTGCTGCAGTGGCCCTGTTCCAACAGCTCCTGTCTCTTGCTTGACACCTCCTGTTTTTTTAAAGATTGATTTATTTTTTTGAAAGTCAGAGTTACACAGAAAGAGAGAGGTTTTCCATCGCTAGCTCACTCCCCAACGATCAGAAGCCAGGAGCCAGGAGCCTCCTCCCAGTCTCCCACATGGGTGCAGGGGCCCAAGGACTTGGGCCATCTCCTACTGTTTTCCCAGGCCATAGCAGAGAGCTGGATTGGAAGTGGAGCAGCCGGGTCTCGAACTGGCGCCCAAATGAGATGCAGGCACTTCAGGTCAGGGCGTTAACTCGCTGGGCCACAGCGCTGGCCCCAGACACCTCCTGTTCTAACACTGTTCTAACACCTCCTGTCCCCGCCCAGGGCAGCTCGGGTGATCAGTGACCAGCACATGCTTCCTAGGGTGAGGACTTGCCACAGGGCTTTTAGCTGTCCCTTCAGCCCCTGGATTCCTTCTGTTGTTTTGAACTTAATTATATTTATAAAAAAAATTCGGTGCCTCTTTTACAGCATTAAGGGTTTTGCAGAGATTTTTAGATTGTTCTACACCGTCACTGAAATGGAAGTCGTGTACATCATGACTTAAAAATCCTCGTGGAAAAAAATGGAATTTAAAGAAGGTTTTTTTGATCCAGAAAAATTTTGGAAATCATGTATCGCTTTTTCATAACATGCAGTTTCCACAAACTTTTTGAAGACTCTTTGTATATCTGTCCACTTTTTAAAACTGCCAACAGTATATGTAAAACACAAATCTTCAAAATTATAGTCCTCACAGCCTATCACCCAAAGGAAGGATATGAAAATAAAGGTAATTTGTTATTAAGATGGATAGTATCAAAAAATTATTTATGTTGCCAACATTAGTTGTGTTTTCAAAACATTTTCAGGACAGCAAGGTGCTGATTTCAAAGTAATTTAGGAATTTCTTGCCTTTGATTGGTGATGGAGTCTCCCTAAGAAAACAAAGTTTTGTTGTCCTCAGAGGAAAAGGCTTTCCAACATCAAAGTCTGTGACCAGCTTCGATACTGCATTCCAGAGATGTTCGTAATCCTTCGCAATGCCTTCTCCCAAATCCAAATGCAGGCCTGGACAACAGAGCAGAGCACGGAGCAGAGGTCATGCACACACGGATGAAAGCGCACATTCGGATTCACTCGTGGAACTCCAAATAGTCACTTTTAGTGAGCCCCGCACAGGGCTGAAATGGAAACAATCACTAGTGTTGATTGTGAGAAGGCAGATTTTAAAATTTGTCCTCTTTCCTTACTTGATAACTAAGTATTAAAATATAACAAAAATAATGAATATGGCATTTTAAAAAATATTTTATTTACTTCAGAGGCAGAGTCAGAGAGAGAGAGAAGGAAAGACAGAGAGAGGTCTTCCATTCGCTGGTTCACTCCCCAAATGGCCAGAACAGCTATAGCTCTGCTGATCCAAAGCCAGGAGCCAGGAGCTTCTTCTGAGTCTCCTACACGGGTACAGGGGCCCAAGGACTTGGGCCATCTTCCACTGCTTTCCCAGGCCACAGCAGAGAGTTGGATTGGAAGAGGAGCAGCCGGGACTCAAACCGGTGCCCATATGGGATGCCGGTGCCACAGGCAGACTTAACCTACTACACCGCAGTGCCGGCCCCTATAATTATTCTTTAGGATAATAAAAAATGCTGGGGCAGGCTTTTGGCCTGGCTGTTTAGAAGCCAATTAGATATCACTTCCCATACTATAGTACCTGGCTTCAAGTCTCCCATCTGGCTTCTGCTTCCAGCTTCCTGCTGATGGTGACACCAAGGGACACAGGGGACAGCTCACGTAGCTGAGTCCCTGCCACCTACATGGGAGACCGGCACTGAGTTCCCTACCCCAAGCTCTGGGCCAGCTAGTGTTGCAGGCATTTGGAGAGGGCATGGGAGCACTATCTTTCTCTCTGTCTCTCAAATAAATAAAAATTTTTAATTTAATGGCCATATAACTCTACAGTGAGTAAATATTGTAACTCTTGAGAAATGGTTAAGTGTGTCAGGGATGGTTAAATTTATATGTAGCCAACTCATTCCTCTGCTTACAACTGGAAACAACCAAATCCTATCAGTCAAAGAAGCTTCAAGAATGGTCAGTTACAGTTTTCTCAAAACATGTTTTATTTTGCTTTCATTATCAATAAATCCCATAGAAGTTATATTTAGAAAATAATCAAAGAAAATATAATTACACATAGCAATATATAAATCAGCTTTATCTTTTGGGATAAATTAAAATGTCCTAAATATCTAGTAATATGGAATGATTATATTAATTAGAGTTAAGTTTTATGAAGGAATATAATGCATGTATTCAAATGAAAAATTCAGCATTTAAATTTAACTGGAAGTGCCAAATCCACAAACACTTTTCCAAAAACACTTTGTAGTGATATTGAGTAATAAGTATTTTAAAAATACAACATTCTCTCCATTACAACTAAAGAAAAATTACAGACATAAACAAAAATTGGAAGAAAGGAAAACACTTATATGCTAGAAGAACAGGAAAATTAAAATTCTAAATTATTTTTAATGTTTATCTCTGGATGAAGTGTCATTATGATAGTAAGGCAGTACCTTGTACATTTTCATTTTCATAATAAAAAACAATGTTCTTCAACAAAGCCTCATCACTCAAGTCAGAAAGGTGAATTAAATCCAGATTCCAAGATTCAAAAATGCTTATGTTACTTAGGATGAAGTATTCACACCAACTTTTCTGAAAATTAAAAATAAAATAAAGTTACTATTTTTATATTAACAATAGCCTACACAATGACTTCATATGCTTCTACGTAGAGTCTACCCAAAGGACAGGTGGGCAAGGCTGTTCCAATCAGTAATGTAAGCCCCTTCCAGCAGGGGAACCATGAATGCTTTATACCTTAAAATACTAAAACATAAAATAAAAGCAAAGCTTCAGTACAGTTCTATATCCCAAACCAGGGAAAGCTGGATTTGACTCATCGTACAATTTTTCCCCCTCACACGGATCCACAGATGAAGTCCAAGCCAACAGAAATACTCCTCCTAGGCTTTAAAGTTCTCCCAATCTTCCTTCCAGGTCAAAAGCGCAGATTTTTAAAGAGAACTTCTGATGGTTCAGAGATCCCAAAGATGCTGAATCCTCTGAAGGCAGAGTCCCACCCAGCTTCACTGATGACAGCAAGGCTAGGTCCCCCCCTACAAGAGGCACAAAGGCCTCACTAACCACACTGAGTTCAGGGCAGGGCAGACTCCTGGGAGCACCAGCAGCAAGCGAGAGCCTAGTTAGGCTTTCGGTTGGTGCCGGTGTCTGGGGAATTAAGCTGAGAGCAGGAAACCAAGCTCCCTTAGTAACAAAGCACAGACGCTTTCCAAATGCCAACACTGCGTTCATCCCTGTAGCACAACAACTTCAACCCAGCACTCGCCAGCAGAAGATGGGCAAGCTGCGTGTAACAAGTCTTCTAGAAGTCATGTTTTTTTTTTTTTAAAGAGTTGAAATTAATTTTAACTATTTTATTGAATCCAAAATATTTAAACTGTTATCATTTCAACACATAATTGATGTAAAAAATATTAACAAGACAGTTATGTGTTTTTCATAGTTCTTAAAATCTAGTCTTCCTTCCTTCCTTTTCATAGAGAGACAGACAGACGCATAAACAGAACTCCGATCCACTGGTTCATTCCCCAAATGTCTTCAACAGCGGGGGCTGGGGCAGGGCCAGGTCTCCCATGTGGGTGGCGGGAACCCAATTACTTGGGGCACAACCACTGCCTCCTAGAGTTTCCATTAGTAGGAAACTAGAATCAGGAGCCAGAGCTGGTACCCAGGTCCTCTGATGCTGGACACAGACGTCCTAATTGACATTTCAATTGCTGGGCTTTCATTTAAATGTACAGCACATCGCCATCCAATCGGCCCACACTGCACGCACTCACTGCCACTTGTGGTTACTGCTGACGGCAATGGCTGGTCCAGCTCTGGCCATGGAAGTTGGGGACACTGCCCAGAGTTGATGATTATAAATATCAAAAAGCAGGGGCTGCCCCCCTACAGTGCAGTTTTATGTACAAATGAAACACTAGAGATCCTCAGAGCCCCAGAACAGAGGCTCTCAAACGTCAGCACGAGCCTCACTGGGAAGGGTGTTCAGCAAAGCCTGGGGTCTCAGCCAGCAGGTCTGGGAAGAGACCCCACCATCGGCATCCGACAAGGAAGAGGTGCTGCTGCTGCGACTGGTGAGGAAGCCACCCTTGGGAAACCACTGCCATGGAAGGGTTTATCCACGATCCCTATCCCATAATACCACTGGGTAAGCAGCAATCTGTGCAAGTGGGACAGCCACAGTGGCCATTCCATGGGCGTGGTACAGAAAGTGCCTCCCGTGTGTGGGTGTGTGGGCTCCACCCGGCTTTCTAGGATTGGCTGAGCTGCTTTTTCCAGAGCTTCCCAAACACGCTCTTGGCTGTGCGCATTTCACTGGCTGCCTGCAACTACGCTTCAAGTTACAGGTGCTGCCACGGCAGATGCACAGAGTGCAGGAGAGGCAAGAAGGGTGGCCGACTATGAGAAAATCAGCAGCTGACCCACAGGGCACTCATTTGGAAACTGGACAAAGAAGGCAGCTCCCCACTGGGTCTTCACTGGCTGGACTGCTGGGCCAGTTAGCTTTCCTGAGCCCAGGTTTCTCCTTTGTGACATGAGGACATACATGGACTCTTGTTGTATCTAAATGAAGCAATAGAAGTAAAGCTATTCTCATTTCCAACAATCTAATTAACACTGAGGTTCTGTATCCACTGAAACCATAAGGCATGTCCATCAGGGGCAATGTAATTATTTCAAAACGTATAAATTGGTATCTGTAAAATCCATTTCACTTAACACTTCATTTTGCTTTTAAAAACTGTATAGAAAATATTTCATAAATGATTGTACAGAGGATATTCATTTAAATGTGCATATCAATACAACTATTACATGTATACAATTTTATTAGTTTACACATAATTCAACCTAAAAAGTTTACAAAAATTAAATATTTTGAGAAACAAATATATAAAGCAACTGCACAGTAATAAACATGCTAATGTTGTATTTTAAAATCTGATACATAATCAATAGTTTTGATTCACTAACCTGAAATGACTAAAGGAAATTAAATAGAAGCTAGAGTCTGCTGTTTTTTTTTTTTTTTCTATGCTCTTTTAAATAACCATGATCTCCTGTCTTCTAACAGAGTATCAAAATGTCTAGGAAGGTTCCTCGGTGGGATTTGCAATACAAGATTCTATGTTCTCACCCAAGCACCAGCAGAATCCACCTAGTACTAGTTTCACCACAGCCGATACTTACTGGATCACAGATACAAACTCAGAGATGCAACCAATGTGCTTTTTTACAGCTGAACTCTAATTACTCACTCTACATCTCCATTATGCCGGGGGAATAAAAATAATATCACACCAAGTAAAGCTTGTCTAACTCAATTACTTCTTGGCCACACCTGGATCAATTCCCTCCCTGCCTCTCCTCTCTGTTGACAGGGGCATTTATGCACGTGCCAACCTTACTTCAATATGAAAGGGGTGCCCACTGCTCAGTCTGACTGTCTCTGGCTATACCTCACTCTCCAGCGTTCTCTACACAGGCCACATATCCCGTTCCCCTGGAGCACAGAGTGAGTGGTCGGAGGACACAGAATGGCTTCCAGCTGGTTCTGTAGCTGGGAGTCTAGTGAATACAACCCTCAGGGACCACCTGTGCCATGTCCTTCTTTATGTAGCAAACAAACAAACAAAAACAACGTAAATGGATTACTTACCATTTTTAAGAAAGTCTGAATTTCCTGAATCCAAGGGGAGGTGATGAATCTAGCACTAGCTCTTTGAGAAAGAGGTAAATGGAGAAGAAACACCACACTGAGGCAATGCAGTTTGCACAAATCTTCTGTCTCCTGCAGGCTTAAACAGTGACCTTCCACCTGAATGACATAAAGCAGACAAGACCAGAACGGCAGGCTATGAAAAAGTGGGTAGTCACACTGTGCTGGGTGCAGTCACACATTCTTACAGTCTTCATGCTGCCTTCGATTTGTGTAGTGACTTATTTAAAAAGCAGAGCAACAGAGAGAGCGAGAGAGATAGAAAGAGAGAGAGCTTCCATCCGCTTACTCCCCAAATGGCCACAACAGCTGGGGCTGCACCAGGTGGAAGCCAGGAGTCAGGAACCCCATACTGGTCTCATACTGCCACATGAGTGGCAGGGGCCCAAACACTTGTGCCACCTTCCGTTGCCTTCCCAGGGATGTTAGCAGAAAGCCGGGTCTGACGCGGAGCAGCCAGGACTCAAATCTGCGCTACAATATAGGATTCCAGCATCACAACACGTGGATTAACCCTCTGCACCCCGTGCTAGCCTTTCATTTCAGGTTCTTTGAAAGTCTTTTTCTTCATACATGAACTTGACTGCATTTATACAGATATGAGATACAGGAGAAAGGAAATGGCAGTTTAGCAGCAGCTCACATAAACATGGCTCCAGATCTTCAGTCGCAGTCAGGATCCCATCCCATAGGACTCTGCATTGACATACCCACACATTGGATGCCCACTGTTCAAGGCATCTTACTTCAAAAATAACATCGAAAGTGTTCATGGTGGGAAGCCCACTGTGGCAGGCTTCTATAGTTGTAATCGTTCAGGTTCCTGCCTCGTGACCAATACCAAGTAGGAGCCCAGAAAGGAAGCGTGTGTAAAGCAGAAGTAGTTCATTGGAAAAAAAAAAAAAAAAAGCAGAGAAAGCGAGAGCAAAAGAAAACGCTCCCAGCAGAACCGGGAGGGGTCCTTGAAGGAAGGACCCGCTGCGGGCTGATTGTCTAGGGTTTTTACAGGCTGTCAAAGGGGGTGCATTCTCGTGATTGGTCCAGGAGAGGCACTGAGAAGTGATGGTTTTCATTGGTAAATTGGGTGAAAGTTAAGTCTCCAATTGAGACGCAATAAAGAGAGAACACTTGCAACATTCCTCCAGCTGGCATAAAATTCTTGTTACCAAGGTCAGATACAACACCACAGAGCAGCCTTGATGAAAAGGGCTAGCACATGCCATCAACCTCCTTCCCCGAAGCTGGTTGACTGACTGTTGTCAGGGCCTCGGAGATGCATCCCTAGATGGTGGGGGAAGGGCCCTGGGCCCTGTCTAACCTAGCCAGGAATCTCTCTGTCACCAAGATAGCAATATATCTGAAAAATGTGCCCAGTGGGAACAAGGCTGTGGAAATAGACATGTGAGTATTGGACATCATGGGAGAGGGACCTTGGAGCCACTTGCGGATGTTTGCAGTGGAGTGGGTGAAGCAGGGGTTGAGAGCTCATCAGTACACCTGCAGAGGGCCAATTAGGGTCTACCGACTGTGCACCGTTTCTGTGAGGACAATTTAAAGTAGTATTGCCTAATCCTGCAGATATCGGATATGCTTCAGTAAAAATACATTCAGGGAGACCCTGGAAGCAAACACACAGGATGCTTTAGGTCAATGATGATGTGCACCGTCCATTTGCGCAATTATGGAAGAAAGAGACAAAACTTTACTATCTTTCATTACTAGGAATCTCTAGCCCAGAACACTTCAGGGCTCAGATTATACAAAATGATATGCGTACATGTGTGTATACATGTGTGTGTGCTTGCTCAAGAGCACAGAGCTGTCTGTTTAGTTGAGGAGAGAAGCCAGGCTGTGACCATTAGACTCTTGATGGGCTCTAGTAGCCATAAAGAGAGCTGCAATCTTTAGTGTCTCTCCACTAGGGCCACAAGACACGACAGCAGGAATGTTCTTCGAAAAGACAGTTTGACATTGTGTGATCTGCAAACAGACCTGGATTCCATGCACACTACTGCGAAGTATCTGGTGTAAGGAATGTTCCCCAGACTCCCCGAACCTCAGTGCTGCCACCTGGGAAGCAGGAACGTTGCTAAGAAGGAATAGCACAGTGCATTTAACAAGCCCGAAACATAGTAGCATAGACTCCCCCCTAAAGTGCTACTCTTTTCTAGTTTACTTAGCCTAAATATCTGTATGGTAAAACACTAAACCATAGGCAGACATTGTGACACAGCTGGTTAGGCTGATACTCGGATGCCCGCCTCCCAAGTAGGAGTACTGGGCTGGTTCGAGTCTCAGCTACTCTGCTTCCACTCCAGCTCCCTGCTGATGCACAACCTGGGAGGCAGCAGATGACAGCCCAGGCGCTTGGTTCCTGCCACACATGTGGGAGATCTGGATGATGTTCCAGGTTCCAGGCTTCAGCCTGGCCCCGTCCTAGCTGATGCTGGCATTTGGAGAGTGAACCAGCAGATGGAGGACCTCTCTCTCTCTCACTCTCTCTCTCTCTGTCTCCCCTTATCACTCTGCCTTCTCTCTATCTCTGTCTTACTCTTTCAAAGTATAAATAAATGAACATTAAAAAATTAAAATGGCAGAGGCCATCTTCCAAAAAGCCCCATGAAATCATAGCCCAACAGATGTTTCCTTATAAATATAAATCCCCATTCTCCTCGCACTTTCGTAATTTACATAAATAAGGGGGAAACATGAGGTACACAATGGAGGAAATGGTAGATGAAAGTTAATAAGATTTCAGAAGCAGAGAGCAATGGCGTTTCTCAGTTAAATGATAACAATCACACCTCTTGGGTGTCAGTTTTCTGACCAGATGTGCTCTTCCTTCTGTTTTCTAAACGACGATGGTACAGTTCCAAAGTCAGCGCGCATGAAGTCACACAAAGGACACGCCGGATGTCAGCTCCTTCCGGCCAGATTTGCTGAAGCAGAAAAGCAGTCTCACACACCTGTTGCAGAAGGAAATTGAAACGTGTCATTCTATTTAGGAAACTATTTTCATTCTTAAGAGATCTTACTAGAAGAAATGATACAGAAAAGATGAATAGATACAGCGATATAGAACTATAATTCTTTTAAAATAGTATAAAGAGGCTGGCGTCGTGGCTCAACAGGCTAATGCTCCGCCTAGCGGTGCCGGCACACCGGGTTCTAGTCCCGGTCGGGGCACCGGATTCTGTCCCAGTTGCCCCTCTTCCAGGCCAGCTCTCTGTTATGGCCCGGGAGTGCAGTGGAGGATGGCCCAAGTGCTTGGGCCCTGCACCCCATGGGAGACCAGGAGAAGCACCTGGCTCCTGCCTTTGGATCAGCTTGTTGCGCCAGCTGCAGTGCGCCGGCCTCAGCGGTCATTGGAGGGTGAACCAATGGCAAAGGAAGACCTTTCTCTCTGTCTCTCTCTCTCTCACTGTCCACTCTGCCTGTCAAAAAAAAAATAGTATAAAGAAAAAATTGTTTTAAGATTTATTTATTTATTTGAGAGATAGTTACAGACAGAGTGAGAGACAGAGAGAGGTCGGTCTTCTATCTGCTGGTTCACTCCCCAAATGGCTGCAACAGGCAGAGGTAGGCCAATCCGTAGCCAGGAGCCAGTAGCTTCTTCAGGTCTCCCACGCAGGTGTACAGCCCCAAGCACTTAAGCCCATCTTCCACTGCTTTCCCATGCCATTAGCAGGGAGCTGGATCAGAAGTGGAGAAGCCAGGACTCAAACTGGTGCCCATTTGGGATGCTGGCACCACAGGCAGAGGCTTAACCTGCTATGCCACAACACCAGTCCCCATTTTTCTGTGCTTCAACTTCTATCATGAATTTTCCTAACATACACACACACATAGATACAGTTTTGTGATATATCTTTATAGTTGAAAACAATTAAGTCTGTAGTAATCAACTTCTGAAAAAGACTGAATATTTTACAACTACAAATATCCAGGAGTTACAGCCTCAGCCTTACTTAAGAAGAGAGAAAAGTGGAGGACATTAACATGTTCCAATCCCAGTCCTTCATCCTGTTACCACACTCGCCCTGACTCAAGGCTTTGTAGTGACCAAACACACTGATCAAGAGAAATTGCAGGAAAGACAGACAGAAGAGGGACATTAGTGAAAAGTGAACTGGAACAGCACTTGAAAGACTAAACCTACCCTAAAACTGAAAAGACTAAAAAAATAGCCATGTTCAATAGAGAACAGAAGATGGGAAATGGATCTCAAAGCATGCACAATTTCAAGTGTCAGATGACATGGAAGGAGGCCAAGCAATTACAGGGATAGGCACATGATTTGAAGGGACAAGCTCCATTCATAGGGACAAACCTAACTTCAAAGGATAGAAGCTATTAGGAAGTTGCAGGATGCAAAAATCAGTATTCAAAAATCAATAGTATTTCCATATAGTAATAGCAAACTATCTGAAAAGGAAATTAAGAAAACATCCTGATTACAATAGCAATCATAAGTAGTATGTAAACACAGTCACAACAACGGAACAGGACGTGGCTCCCTGGGGTGCAATCCTGAAACAGAAAACAACATTGGTAGAGAAGGACATGAAGCTCTAATAAGGTCTGATGTTTGGTCGGTGGTACTGGGCTGACGCTGACTCCCTGGTTTTATTGAATGAATCCCGGTTACATGAAAGAATAACATTAGGGAAAGCTGAGTGAGAAGTAATGAGGGGTTTTCAAAAAGTTCCTGGAAACGCATATTATGAGAAAAAAATATACATGGATTTCAAAATGTTTTTGTACCAGAATAAACTTATCTTTTAACTCCATTTTTCCACATTTTTGAAGTTCCCTGGTATATTAGAACTCTGAACTATTTTTAAAAATTTTTCATAATTAAAAAATTGGTTCAGAGTTTTTTTTAAGAAAATTACATTACCTCTTCCATCATATTTTCCCATTTTAAATCTCCAAAAACTGTTGCTAATTCTACATCTCTGCACTCTTCCCATTGTTTAAGTAGGATTTCATAGGCACTCTTGATCGTCTTTACATTCTAGAAAATGAGGAAAGCCAGGTGAGCTGTCATAAGTAAATTATCCAAGTATTTTTCAGCTACAGAAAATCAGACATTTAAGATGCAATTTTTAGAATACATCTGTAAGTAAAAAGAAAATGCATTAATTTAATTGCAGATGGTCACCAATATTTTTAGGTTCTACCAAATAGAAATATTTTGTCTTTGCCAAATTAAATTTTGTCTGAGAATACAGTGCCTTTAATTTGTATAAAGTTTCATGAGGTTACATTTCACATAAAATTCAATAATTTTTAAAAGATTTACTTGTTTGTTTATTTGACAGGCAGAGTGACAGAGAGAGGGAGAAACAAAGATCTTCCATTGACTGATTTACTCCCTAAATGGCCATAATAGCTGGGACTGGTCCAGGCCTAAGACAGAATCCCAGAACTCCATCCAGGTCATGTGGAAGGGTGGTGAGGACTCCAGCACTGGGGTCATCATCTGCTGCCTTCCTGGGTGCATTGGTAGGGAGCTGGATCGGAAGCTGAGAGCTTAGACTCAAACCAATGCTCCAGTGTGGGATGTTGGCATTGTAAGCAATGGCTTAACCACTGTGCCACAAAGCCAGCCTCAAAATCCACTCATTTTAAGTATACAATTCAATGACTTTTAGTAAATTTACTAAGATATGCATCTACTGTCACATTCTAACTTTAGAACATTTCCAACACCTCAAAAAACCCATTGGTCCATTTAATGCAACATATTTTATAACAACAAATCTCAAACACATGAATAGAAAAGAGCCCCATTCACAGGGGCCTGTCACCTAGCAACAGCCCTCATCAGTGTTTTAACAGCATTGGCAAAGTCTTCAACTTGATTAATGAAACCTATTCAATTGCATTTCTAATGTATTCATGGAGTCTACAAATTGATAAACAAATAACCTCTTTAATCTGGATGATCAAAAAATTAGTAAATAAGTTGTCTTCTTATGAAAGGCCACAACATTAATGATTTCACTGGGACGTCTCAGCAGTGATTTTTGCCTCCAACTGAAGACATTTCTACATCATCATTAACTTGGAACCAATAATACCACACATTGGGTAAGGTCATGGGGCTTCAGTCAGACTGTATCCTTCAAATCCATGTTCTATTACAAATCCTGTGTTCACAATGAGTAAATTACATATTCAAAGATTTATTTTTACACCAGTAAAGCAAAAACAATACTAACAAAGCCAGTGCTATGATGTAGCAGGTTAGGTTGCAGCCTGAGACACTAGCATCCTATATGGGCGCCAGTTTGAGTCCCAGCTGCTCCACTTCCTATCCAGATCTCTGCTAATGCACCTAGGAAAGTAACAGTAGATGGTCCAAGTACTTGGACTGCTGAACCCACATCGGAGACTTGGAAGAAACTCCTGGTGCCTGGCTTCAGACCAGCCCAGCTCCAGCCATTGTAGCCATTTGGGGAATGAACCAGAAGATGGAAGATCTCTATGTCTCTCCCTCACTCTTTGTAACTGCCTTTCAACAAAAATAAATATTAAAAAAAGTACCAACCACTATTGTTAGAACAATAATTGTCCAATAAATTACTTCTTTTGTATTGCTATTATTACTGTATTTATATTATCATTGTTAGTGCATAGATGTCTCTTAAATCTGTCATAATTTCCATACAGCATATATAAAACTGAGTCACACAAATTAGAAAATTTTGTAAAATTCTCAAAAAAAAGTATTTTGGATATAAATTACCTGCTTGAAAAATTCCCGTAGTTTAGACAAGCTTAGCATAAGGTAGGCATAAAGTCGAAGGATATAAGATTCTTGCCCTGAGAAAAGCACAACATTGACTTTCAATGACCAAGTCTGAATCATTAAGAAATTGAAAAGATGTGTTTGTAGATGGTTCAGGCCTTCATCTGCAACTATCAGGAAATACGGGTAACTCTCTTCCAAAAAAACTTGCCACTCGTCTGATAAGCACCCAGAAAACTCAGTTCGAACATCAATGGTGGTGTTATTCTGAAGATGAAGGATTAGGGCAGTTCTCAAAGGAAGAAGTTCAGGGAAGTTGAAGTACGCGCACTCGGCATCCTGTGGGGGAGGTGGTGGGGAGGTGCATTATTTCGAAGTCATCATTTAGTAGATTGATACATATAATTAAAGGCTAAAGAAATACAATTCAATACCACCGTGTTCTGTCTCGTTGCTGGGAATAGACCCTAAACCTTGATGGCCATTTCACAAACAGGTCTTAAATCACAACTTACATGGAGAGCCATGTGTCACCTTCAGGCAGGCTCATCATACTCAAGGTCTATCACACTTTCCCTTCCTACAGTCTAGTTATTTTCCTCTCTAATCTCACTTCAAAAAGAAAAAGAATAGAAAAATACACAAAAAGCAAGTGGTGAGTGAAGGTAAATTATCTGGAGTGGGAAACGGAGGTGCATCATTTTATTCTAAAGGGGTGCTCTGGGCCATGGCAACCCTCCTGAAGCGGCACTGGTTGGTCCAGGTGGACCAAAATTAGTGCAGTTGGATTGACTGTTAGTGTCAGACCAGGACCCGGAATCATTCTTCAAAACATCACTGGCAAGCAGTAAGCAATGTTCGAAAACGTAACAATAACCTGGATTGGAAAATGAGCACAATTCTGTACACAAAGTCAGTAATTGTAAGCCATAGTTATCCTTGGGGACACACAAAATTTTTTTTATTATATACATAATCAAACAAAAAATGCAACATTCTCTTGGGAATATTTACTATGGAACAAATGAAAACAAAAGCAGGGTTAGTGAATTTGCCTAGACTCAAACACATTTTATTTGGGGCTCAAATACATTTACTCCTGAACATGAAGACAGAAGTGCTTCTCAGAGTTGGAGGAGTAGAATCAGGTTTCACTTGGGCTGCTATTGCAATTTCATCTGCCCTCATGATCTTGTATGTCCCTACAATAAAGCTCTGTTATTAGAAAGAAAAAATTAACTTAAGGGTAATGATTTCTGAATAGGGGATTGTGGGTCATTTTTATGTCTTCTTCCCTTTAAATTTTCTGAATTTTATAGATATATTTTACTTTTTAATAATGAAAAACACTATGTATGAAAGAATTTAAAGAATTCTATTAATTTTCAAAGCATAAGAACTCAGCTATCACATGTTACCTTGAAGAAAACTATGGAAAATTGTCCTCCTTTACTAGTGAGATCCAAAAGGTAGTGTTCAACCAGATAGAAGAAGTGGAGATTCTGCCCTTTCTTTAATGACTGTTCACATACAAATGTGATGAGTAATGAGTCTCCATCAATCAGGAAAAACTCAGATTCAACAAAGTCATTGAATAAACTGGAATATCTAAAATAGAAGAGAGTTAACAAATTCAAATGGAGATTAAATCACATGCAAAAAAAGGCAATACCTTTGTTATTATCTTATTATCACTGATAGCTGTACACACACACACACACACACACACGCACACACATTATCAGTATAAAGCCAAATAGATATATAGGGATACTTCAAAATGTTCATGAAAATTGAATTAAAAGCTCTAGTGTGTGTTTTTTTTCATAGCATACATTTCCATGAACTTTTTGAATATGTCTCTCATACAGATTTTCAATTTCTTAATTCCATTTTTCCACAAATTGTATGAAGTACCCTGGTATAGAAAATAAGATATATGATTCTATGGAAATTCATTACAACAAAAATACTCACTCAGCTCTTGGCATTTGACTCAGAATTAACTGTGACATTTCCTCTAAAAACGTTGTGCATTTTTTAAAATCTAAAATAAAGCAAGATAACAAATTATTTCCAATAACTGATTTCAAGAGAGGTATATTTCATTACTATTGAGAATGAAGAAACAGTGATACAATTATTTTAATTCCATTAAATTTGTGTGGCTTATAGAATCACTGGCTTATACAATAAGAATATTTTTCATTGAAAATTACCCATTCTTGACGTTACTGTGCCTCCTACTTGAACTGGAAAATACAATGTTCCTCTAAATGGCAACTGCTAATGAAAATAGCAGACCTGCAAAGAAAGAGGAAAAGCAGAAAGTCTTATTTGTCAACAAACAGTGCTAAATGATTCTACAAATACCGAGCACCAAGAATACAAGATTGAACAAAGTCAACCTGTGATCAGTTCTCCTGAAATTTTGTCAATTAGGAAACAGAATTACTAATCAAAAAATCACATCAACCATGGAAAACAAAAATGTGACAAAGTACACAAGGTCAAAGAGAGCTTTCCAGTAGAAATGCTTGAGCTGAGATCCAAAAGATTTCAGGAGAATTCACTAAGCAGCGAGGGGGCAAGCAGCATTCCAGGCAGAGAGGATACCAGGACGCCATGTGTAGTGCCCGTTGGCATGAAGGAATGTGGATGGAAGTAGGCTCTGAGAATAAGCCAGCAGGGCTGTTATGGAGAGAGTGAGAGGAAGACCAACTGCTAGAGAGGGCTAGAAAAGTAAGAGCAAATACGGAGGCAGAATCTTCAAGGCATGCTATGAAATTTTCCCTTCATCCAAGAATCAAAAATTGGCTCTTGTTGGATTTGAAGCGGCTGGTAACATGATGGCTTTGCACATTGAAAACATTACGCTAGCCATGGCACAGAGAACAGAGAGGACGGGAACAAAGTCCTTGTTAGTTGAGCAGGATGAATGCCATTGCTCAGGGGAGTAGCGAGGAGAGTTTGAGCCAATGAAGTCTGAGCATGGAGATTTCCTTGAAGAACATTTAGAAGTTGAGTTTGACATAATTTAGTAATAGAAGGGTAGGCATTTGGGTCAGTGGTCAAGATGCTGCCTGGGACACTCGCATCCTATATCAGAGTGCCTGGGTTCAAGTGTTGGCTCCACTTCTAATTCCAGTTTCCTGCCCGTGCACACCTCAGGAGGCAACAAATGATGGCTCAAGGGTTGGGTCACTGCCACGCTCATTGGAGACTCAGACTGATTCACGGCTCCTGGCTTCAGCCTGGCCTATCCCCAGCTATTAGGGCATTTGGTGAGTGAAACAGAGATAGGAGATTCCCTTTCTCTCTTCCCTTGCATTCTCCCCCACTCTCCATCTCGTTGCCTTTCAAAATAAGTAAAAAAATAAATGTTTTAAAAATGGTAATGCATCAGATATGGATCAAAGAAAGAGGACAGGGAAGTTGTCATAGATGACTATTATCTCATGCAATGGAATGAATGACTAGGCTACTCAGAGGCCAGAGAAACCTTGGAACAAAGACATGCGACAGGCAAAGACCATTTGTGGATAAACTGAATTTGACTTACTTCCAAGACTTACCATAGACCTTGTCATGTAAGTAGTTAAATGCACAGGCTTAGAGAGCGACATAAGGTCTGGGCTAGATCTGAACGACAGAGTTATTTGCACACCAATGGCAAATAAGACCATTGATGTAGATGAGCTTCTTTGGAAAAGGAGAGAGAGAATCATGGAAGAAGAGAGGGAATTAGAAATCGAATTTTGAGGACTTATTTAACAAATGACAAGAAAGAGGAGGACAGGTCTGTAAACGCAACTGGAGATGAATTACTACAGAGACAGAAGAAAATCCACCTGAACGTTTTATCATGAAAACCAAATATTGAAACATTTGCCATAGTGTTAGGACTGTGAAACATTAGTTGAATTAGAGACAATAGAGGGAGACAGACACAGACCGATAGATATGTGATGCTGGTGTCACAAGTGGTGGCATAACCCACGGCAACACAGCTCCAGTCCCACCCCCATCCCAGTTATTCTTCATCTACAGAGAACCACTCTTCACCAGGCATTGCAGATGCTACAACATACACACATACGCATGAAATGAGGTTCTCTACCCTGGTGGGAGTTGAAAGAGAATTAAGTCAACATTACAGTACACTATGCTGAGAGTCTTAGCTGAAGTGGCATAGAAAACTATCAAAGAATAGAGAACTTGGCCAATCAGGCTAGGAGAGTCAGGATCCTGTGTTCTGAGGTTTCATGGACAAGTTGAGAAGATAGATGGCAATGAAGTACGGTAGTATGCTAGGCAAGATAGAAGCTATAAATCACTACATTCAAGGCAGACAAATCAGCATCAGTTTAATGCATAGAGATGTGAAACTACTTGATAAGATCAAGATTATGCAGGTTGTTCTACATGGCAAGTGTAGGGTTACTGATTGGAGATGAGGCTGGAAAGGTGGCAGTGGTCCAGGCTACAGATTCTTGTGCCCAGGACAGCAGTTTAGGCATTTTCCAGAAAAACTTCTGTCACCCAGTTCCTGCACTCGTCAACCTCACTGATTGCATATTAGCCTTACTCTCTTCCTTCTGTTTTCTAAACAGTACAAAGTTCAAAAGGAAAATGAAAGGCAGTGAAGGCTGAGGAAACAAGAGAAAACTTAACTCCAAGCATGCTACAGAAGGCACTTCAGAAACGATAATGTCATATTTCAGCAGACAAAATAAGTTAATCCATAGGTCCTCAGACAATGTTGCACAGTGCTACAGGAATTAAAACAATTTTTTTTTATATCTGAGAGGCAGAGAGACACAGAGAAGCAGACAAAGAGTGCCTGTCTGCTGTTCATCCCCCAAATAGCCTCAAAAGCCATGGGCTGATGCCAGGAGTAGGGAGCTCAGTCCAGGTCTCCCATGTGGGTACAGGGATTCAACTACTTGAGCCATCACCTGCTGTCTCCCCGGACCCCATGAACAGGAAGCTGGAACCCAGAGCCAGAGGCGGGGCTCAAACTCAGATACTCAAATGTGAGAGAAATGTGTGCTAACCTGAGTCATAATGCTAGAACAAACGTCTGCTGCTCAGGAATTTTTTACAGCACTATCAGACAATAAATATCTAATAGTGTCACGTACTTAGCAGTTAGATCACCAAAAATTAATAAGGATTTAGGTCCTAAAGACACAGAAATTATCTAAAGGAATAATGCAAAAGAAATAACAAGAGGAGTCTTCAAAAAGTTCACAAAAAATGTTTGTTATGAAGAAACTATACATGGATTTCAAATTTTTTGCACCAAAATAAAATTGCTTTCTAAATCTATTTTTGCACAAACTTTTTGAAATACCCTTGTGAAATTTTTAAAATTAGCTAACCACAACTACTATTGAAATGTGGTGCCTCAACTCTCCTTAATTTGAAAAGTATGGGATTTCATAACCAGCCTGCTAGTCTCCTCCCACATACCCATTCAGTAAATCTTCCATATTAAACTCTACCCTAAGCACATCCACACCTCAACACTTATTGGCACTGTGGTGAAGCAGGTTAAGCCACCGCCTACAGTGCTGGCATCCCATGTGGGCACTGGTCCAAGTCCCAGCTGCTCCACTCCCAATCCAGTTCCCTGCTAATGTGCCTGGGAAGGTAACGGAGGATGACCCAAGTGTTTGGGCCCCTGCCACCAACATGGGAAACCTGGATGAGGCTCTTGGCTCCTAGTTTCAGCCTGATCCAACCCCAGCCATTGTAGCCATTTGGGGAGTGAACCAGTGAATGGAAGATTTCTTCCCTCCTTTCTCTGTAATTTTACCTTTCAAAGACACAAATAAATCTTAGAAACAAAAAGAATTCAGAATCATTATCCCTTTTTCAATGGAATGAAAGTTTCCTTTCATTTAAGACAGACACATGCTAGGAAAATAAAAATAGTCGTCTGTACATCTGTAATAACTGCTGAATGAGTATACACCATGGAAATGAACAACACAAATAAAAACATTCTTATCATACTCATTTAACAGGATCACGAGTCCACAAGGAGAAAGCACTTGGGTCATAAGTGACTACTTCAGGAAATGCCCTGCTAGGCCAATCAGCCAAATATCTGGCAGTGTTGTTAAGACTACTTTATTCTCCTCAGCAATTGTCCATGTAACTGCTCACCTGTGACCCTAACACGAGTTTCACATAGTGGTTGCTGCACACCACTCAGAACTTGCTGGCTCCCTCAACTTGTCTGGATGTCTCTGCCCTGACAATCCTCAACCGTTGCTTTGCTCTCTGGGTAAATTGGAGACCACTCTTGTGGCCTCTGCAAGAGTGTATGTCGGGGGCGGCGGCAGATGTTGAAGTTGACTAGTGTGTTCACAATCCCAGTCCTTCTCTGCCTGGAGTGAGCTCACGGTGCCTGTGCACCCAACTAACATCCCCTTCTCCCTACTGTCAGAGGTGCTGCACCACACCCATCCTGCCAGATACAGTGGACTGTTACCCCACCCACAAACAGTGGCCAGAGCTCCCTGCTCCCACCCCGGATACACCCCTGGAACTCCAGGGTGAGTCTCAGGCACTCCACCAACCCAAAGAGGCATGTTTCCTAAAGCAAAGCCTTCAATAATAAAAAGGTAAGTGATCCCTCAGGTATGTAAAAACCAATGTGGAAACACACACACACAAAACATGAAAAAAGGACGGTAACTTGACTCCCCAAAAGGAACACTATAATGCATTAATATTGGACTGTGAAGAAGGGGATACTGATGGAATGACTGTAAAGTGACTCAAGAACACGGAGAAACAGTTACATGGAGAAAGAAAATCCATACAAGACATGGACGAGAATTCTGTGTGGATAGAGATATTGAAGGAGAATCAGACAGAAATATTAGAAATGAAATATTTGATAAGTCAAATGTAAAATACATTTGAAAGCCTTAATAGACTCAGTGAGAGTGAAGAAAGAATCTCAATCTAGAAGACATGTGTTTCGAAATATCTCAGTCAGACAAAAAAAGAAGCAAGTGTTCAAGAACTATGGGATACCATCAAATGATCAAATATATGACTCTTAGAAGTTCCAGAAGTAATTGCTTAGACAACACATTCAGTGAAATAACAGCAGGAAATTTCTCCACTCTGGAGAAGGACATGGACATCCAAATACAGGAAACAGAGAGACCCCAAAATAGGCAACATCAGAAAAGATCCTCACCACAATGCATTATAGTCAAACTTTCAAAAGTCAAACATAAAGAGACTATACTAAAATATGCAAGATATAAATGTTAGGTACC